ATTTTCATCATAGCACACATAATGGCATACATGTACGCCCGTCTTTATTGGCCCGGTTGGTTAAGAAAAGTCATGTAACGTCACGAGTCCCATGTCTAACCCTGTAGAATTTCTCTTTTCTTTGGCTCAGTAACCAGGAAGTCAGGGTTTCGATCCTGGTGTTGACTTGTTTCTTCCTAGTCATTGGTGCAGGATGGAGGTCCTGGCATTGGATAGGGTCTAGTCATTTGGATGGACTGAAAAACCATGGTTCTTTGTACATATTGACATATACATGTATACATGTATGTAAAAGAACAATTGACAGTTGGAATTAAACTGCCGTCCATCATGCCTGTCTTAACCTGGTTGGAGCAGAACAGTGGGATGTTAAACCCCATTTCATTCATTCATTCATTGAAATAAAATGAACAGTGGGAATGTTCTATGGAGTGAATTGTCCTGTTGGTAATTTAAGAGCTCAGATAATCGTGACTGGGCTCTATGAGACTACCATACTTTAGAAAGTATGATCATATTAAATGAGGTAGCCATGGTGGCTTAGTAAGACGTTAGCTCAGTGAGCAAGATGTTGGCTCGCTAAACCAGGAGGTCCTGTGTTTGATACTGGTGTTGGCCGTGAAACAAAATCATACTGGACAGAGGGGATGTGGCAAAAAGCTGAGGCCCTGTTTACACATTAGCGTAAATGTAAATATCCTTTGCCGTTAAAATGTGAGATAAGAGTAGGCTGTAGCACCGTTGTTCGGGAAAAATTTTCTTCATGGCTCTCAGTATGGTGTATGCCCGTCTTATTTAGCCCAGTCAGAATAGAACAGAACAGAACAGAACAGAACACAACAGAAGGACTTTCAGCCCTATTTCATTTCATATTGGTATTAATCAATCTGATTAAAATACAGATCCTATTCCATTTTGTTTTTTATAGTTTAAAATTTTGTTTTACTTGTTTTTACTACACTAGGATCTGGAAGATTTGTAACACACGTTCTGGATGATGTGAGGGATTAGCTAATGAAACGGCCGGTTATGGCAAGTTTTTGGCGTGAGGTGCACGGAACTGTGGATAATCCACTAGAAATATCAATGCTGATTGATTAATCAAATGTATGACGTCATTGGGTCAAATACGTTTGTATGACCTCTTATGTGACCTTCCACTACAATCGGTCAAATCTTCATATAGTAGAGGCCATTGAAAGTATAAAAAAATGAAATGAAGTATACATCTGTATTCTAATCAGATTGGGTATTAATTAGTTTCAAAGACATTTTCTGCCCCCAATTCAGGCTTTTTCAGGCACAAATGCCTCTGGGCTTGCAATTTTGATAATCATTTATTTTAAGTCGTTTTTCCATTGTATGCGGTATTTGGGTACGATGTCCGTTTGTCTTGCCTTTTATTTGCTTAGAAATATTGAGTTTGGACGCACGAGACATGTTCAGTGTAGTTTTATCACATTTTGTTGATTTAAACAAAACTTAGTCATATTTTTAGTGTGTATACTTTCTTTTGGACATTAGTATACATCTACCGTATATCAGGCAAAACATTAAAACTGTTAAAATGTAGGTACAACTATGAGTGTTCATGACATCTTATCAGGTACATCATAATTTCTTTTGTTAAATGCTTCTATTACATAATGCTTTTAGTTTTCTTTGATTTTAAAGATAAATCTAAAAATATCAGTTTTATCAGTTGCTGTTTATGAATATAACCACGGATGATAAAGAATAAAGTATAGCATAGATTATTATACACTACACAATTTTTTTTTTTACTGTAATTATTAATACCCTAGTTTTATTTTTCATGCGTTCTTGGGAATCTATTGTACACCATTGTCTCTCACGGAGCGTGATAATTGAGTTTATGTGTTAACCATATAATGTCAATAAGATAATGATATATTAAATATTGGACTTATTGATGATGTTTTATTATCAACAGATTTCTTTCATCTGATGAAAAATGCAAAATAAATTCATTGCCTCATACAGATTTCAGTTTCAGTTCACTAGAAGTTTTCAGGAATTTTATTGACAGACTAAACTACTGACCGTAAACTTTATTAACGGTTCTGATATTTTATGACATCTGATATTGTTTCATGTTAGAAAACATTATGTCTTTGGACAAAGGATATTATTTTTTCTTTGATTTTTTTCATATATTGATTACTGAGGAATTTGGTTCAATTATTAATACATGTAGTTTATATTCTCCATTAATCAAAAAAAAGATATGAGAAAAATATATTTGTTTTATCACCAGTCTATAAACCGTTATCAATAGAGTTATAAATAGTACATTTCTACGCAGTTAAAGTTGCTGGACGTAATTTGAATTTTTCAGACAATATCATGCATTCCACAGCTTAATCCACACTAGATTGTACTCAAATTGATTGTTTAACATCTAATTAAAAAACGAAATGTAAAAATCTCCCAACTTTTATTCAGGGGGTTGGATGGCCGAATGGTTAGCACATGTGCACTGTATCATAGAGTCAACTGGCATGGTTTCGATTCCCCGTTTGCACGTAACAAGGAGTAGGGTCGCCTGTCCAACCTTGTGGGTTTTCTCCGGGTCCTCCGGTTTCCTCCCACTGCTAAAGACCCCTATGCGCAAGTGAATTATTGAAATAAAATTGAACCATGTGTTAGTCCTGAAATGACCTAGTTTGTGTCAAGTGGACGTTAAACCCCAATTCTTTCTCTCTCCAACTTTTATTCAATCAGATAAGTAAAAAATTCAGCGAAAATAACAGTTGGCGTTGTCTGGTTTTGACTGTGGTAGCCAAATTTTCAATTCATCAATTCTTTGTAAATACTGATCAGAATTGAACCATTTTTACAATATTGTAGTTTGCAAGGGATTCTAAAGGGACAGCTAAACCGATAGTCCATTCATGTAGATATTTGAAAAATCAAAAATAGACTAGATTTTTATTAAGAGTTAATAAAAGCCCCAACTTTCCAGACTTTTTCAAAGTAAATATTGACTTTCATACCTTCTACAGAAAAAATAATCTTTACAAGTAAAATTGATCAATTCTTAACGAAGTTATGGTCATCTGAAGTTTATATTTCTTTCTGTTGATTTCATGCCTCCATCGATTTTGCTCTTATAGATGTACTGATCCAGATGGCTACTGAAGGATAATAATTGCTATCCATGAACAGGGAGTCCAAGATGACATCTAACCTTGAGATTTTTCAGCTTATGCCATTCAGATTCAATGTGAACTCTACATTTCCGAAAAGCTTAAAATAACACAGTCTCTTTGAATTAGGGCCAAAAGTAAAATTTTTGATTTTAGTGATTTAATTTGTTTTGTCGGATAACGATCTGTCTTCTTTGAAAATCTGACACGTTAAGCTAAAACCAGTGTTGAGATATGGCCAATTTTGTGCTCTACTGTTGACAAAGTAAGCAAAAAAAAAGAGTTCAGCTTTCTCCATCAACACAATTATACTTTATTTTAGTGTAGAGTTAACTAAAAAGTTACTATCTCAATATATATAGGGAGGTGCCCTCAAATATTCAGAGTGAGAATACAAAAGATGCAAAATAACAAATGTACCACATAATCGACATGGGTTCATACAGTATTAATCCCCAGGACTTAGATACATTATATAAATAATTGTTAATCTGTATTCTGATAGAAACTGTACGTTCATCATCTGGCCTCAGATAACCAATAGAGGATTAATAAAGTATAAAAGAGAAAGCTAATTGAATTATGGTCCCAATAGATCAACAGCTAATTCTATTACCAGTAGGTGTATGTAATCATATTTAATATGAGTTACAATTGTCTGGGGTTAACCAAATTTCCCCCGTCGAGACATTTTATTCATTGCTTATTTATTGTCCTACATTATTACGTAGAATATAAGTATGACACCAATGACCTACAAATTTATATGGTATTACTTTCTGATATCCTGTACCAAATTTATAGGCGTTTTTACGAGAAAACAATATCGGTTTCGATTACTTATCTCGTTTTGTACATGACATAGGTCTCGAGTTGGCATTCAAATTGGTTCTCGTAAATGTGACAAGTTGCCTCGCAAGATGGCTGAAGACTGAAGAATTGAGGAAAAATGTTAAATAAAAATTTGTTTTTATTCTGTTCTTGAAGACACTGTCCAAAAATAAAAATGAGAAGTTGTACCAGTTGACTGTTCTCAAATGCCCCATATTCGTATTTGGAATGTCTATGATATTCATATTTTAACATGAAATTCAAAAGAAAATGAACTAATGTCAGGCACGTTGTGTCGCTTGTGGGGACACCATCTTGGAAATCTAATCGTCAATCTAGCAGGCAAGCAAGTTGGAAGATTTGCATAAGCGATTTGGCAATTGTCGTGGTAAATACGACAATTAATTGAAACCGATTAGGCTAATTTTTGCCGTAAATGTGTTTGAAAATGATTTGCAATTCGATTAGCCATAATCGGTTTCTTGTAAAAATGCCCTATGTGGCCTATGTGGGACTTTTGCAAAATTTCAACACTATTGTCCAAACAAATAACTTGTGGATAGATCTTGAATATCATCCGCGTTGACAGAGTAAGAAAATATTGACATATTTCATTTCATGATTCAATATTGAATAAACAATATCATTTTCTATCTTCTCTGTCTTTAAACCCACCCATCCAGTTCTGCAGATAATTCGTTTGGATGCATTGCAACTCTGCATATAACAGATCTATGCCACCAAGAACCATCAATCATGAAGAATTTACCTAATGGCCTTTTGCCATGGTACAATGTAATAGTATTTTACTGTATTTTTATGATCAAGTATGTTTTCTTGGTAATTCAAAAAAATAATAATAAAAAAAATCATAACAAAAAACACTTTACGAAAAGCTTTCAGTGTTTCATTAATGCTAGAATTTTTTGCTGTATCACAGTACATATTAATAATGGTGATTTGTTTTTTCTTAAAATATTTTTGCTGTTTTATTTTCAGGAATTAGAAAATATAGAAGATAATTGGCAATGTGAAGTAAAGGAACTTTTAGCTTTAAACAATCGTCTGTTAACAGAGAATAAGAAATTACGAGAAAACTTACATGAACATAAACAATCTGTTACAGATTCCTTAGTAATAGAGCATCAAAGTAAGTAGAAACAGTTCTCCTAAATATGATGATAACAAAAGCTTTTTACACTCACTGAAAACTTATTTTTATCCAGCTAGTATTGTTTTTTCTGGCCTTACATTTTGATCAGGTTCTGGGTACCTTGTCACAAAGTGTACATGTATGTATCTTATACTGGTCTGTTAACATTTAACGTACATAAATTATGTACTTGTAGCTTAGATACGTATTGTAAAATATAGAAAAAGCTCAAAGTGATCTATATGAGTTTACAGGCACTTGTAGTATAAGCTAATATTAAATTAGAGTTGCACAAATTGGCAGTTGGACATGTGAAGCTCTGCTTGAATCCAGCAACAACAGACCTCAAGATTATGAAACCTTTCCTTTCTCTATTTAGTTTTGTCAGGGTCTAAAGTATGGGATGAAGGAAATATATCAATTTTTCACTGTTACCATTTTTTGTCAACCCAGTCCACAAAATTAATTGATGCCCTTATTGTGAAAATCAAAGAAAGTAGGATGATGACAATACCTAGTGCATGTACATTACAATAGACATTTTCCCATAACACTACTATTGAGGGTGGTATTATTATTATTTCACTAAAATTCCACATGGAATTATGGTTCATTTGTAATTCCTTCTTAAGGAGATTTTAGGTGACATGTATTAAATGAAGTAGGTGTATAATTGATTATATACTAGACAATGAACTGGTATTAAACATTAATCAATACTTGGTACGTTACACTGTAAACAGACAGGAACATGAATGATACATTACATTCTTCATTTAAATCAGGGAACCACAGTGGCTCACTAACCATGAGGTCCGTGGTTCGATCCCGGTGTTGGCCGAGAAAGTTCCTCAGGATTTTCCAGTGTGGTTTCACCTTGTCAGTTGTTCTGTTGGGACGAAAAACCAAGGTTCTGTGTACACATTGGAATGCACATAAAGAACGCTTGCCAGTTGGAATTTGACATAAGAATAAGCCATAGTGCCGCTGTTCAGGCAAAATTTCCCTCGTAGCACACGTCATTAATTAGCCCAGTTAAAAAACACAGTTTATATGGAAAGCAATTACTCATTTGTAGATATACATGTATAGTACAACATTTTGACAAGTGTGCAGACCAGTGATTAAATTGTGTTTTTTATTGTGCTCAATCATTAAATTGCCACTCAAGGATTGTATTAGTGTGCTTGGCCCAGACAAATAGAGACAAGTAGGATGTCAAATCCCATTTGATTGAAACCATTTAAAGCCATGTATTGTATGTGTGTATGTCAGTTTAATATGTGATGATGAAGCAGTCTATTTTTTAAAAAAAATTATTTGCATAAGCTATTGGAGCATTTGTATAAAAACATCCACTATTATCTTTATTTTCAAACACTTATTATTCTGATTTTTTAGATTTCAATATTTAATGATTGGTTTTATTGGTTTCCCATGTATGTTGTTGAAACAATAAGCTGGTGCTGTTACTGCCATTCATATGGAATAATTGTGAGATTTCAAATAGAATAGATTAATAGAATGATGTCTATTCAATTGGTTATATTTTTTTCAATTTGTTTTCTCTTATGGGAATTAAAAAATACCAGATTGATTTATTTAACAGAAAGCTTCCAGTCATGGAAAATAAATTTTTATTAAAGATACATTCCTGTGTACAAAACTTGTGATTTGATGATATATTTGGACTAAAAACATATTCAAAGTAACCAATCTATTAAAAATTTGCTTCAATTCCCTCTCAAAACTTTGTATTTGCTGGGGATACTTATAGCTATAAGTAAGCTGTTGTTAGACGCAATGTCTGTCAACTTAGCTTCATTGTGGGAAAGTCCATTTTTCAAAATGTATTTATCATTACTTACTATACATTTACCATACATATTGAGGCCCAAGTAAATTCTTAATTATTTCTGTCAACTTCGTTTTCTGCCGTTTAATTGCAGAGTCTTTTGTACTTTGACACCCCGCAATGTTCCCAAAACCACCTAACCATTTAATCAACAAATAACAACCGCTCCCTCATTTAAGCTGGCACACAATAAGCTGGCAGATAACAGTCAGGTTGCCAGTTAGTGATACCCTGACAATTTTGTCCAGTGCTCGCAACATGTTTTTTTGGGGGGTAATCCAGTGTTTTTCTAGTAAGATTGGGTGTCTATACTTTCCGTATATATACCAAATTTGACATATTTTTCTTGGAAATAACCACCCGATAAATACTTTTCTGGGAAAGTATCTTTAAAGGCACAACAAGCCAGATCATTCACATATGTCAAAAGTAAAAACTATATGTGCTATTTTTGATGTAAAGACTGTTGTTATTTCATAATTAAATAGGATAAAGTAGTGATGGGAAAACCTCTGTGAAATTATCATTCAAATGGTTGGACAAACCAATTAGATCTGAAAAACTACTGGATCATAAAATGATGAAAGCGGAAATAAAAGACATAAACTTAAAGATAGTATAGTCCCCACTGAATAAACATCAAACTTTGGTACAATAAAACAGGAGTTTGTTGCATGACATTTCCATTCTTAAATATTACTATCAAAGATAACATTTGATAAAGGGTGGAAAAAAAGTCATCCAGTAATCTGCTGTGTTTGATTGTAATTGTTCAGCAGGGACTATACTACATGTATCTTCACATGTAATGGAAGTACCGGTATATAAAAAAAACCTGGCTTGTATGAAATAGATAACAGTATTGTTATTACTGTATTTGTTTCAGACACATTATGGTGGAGGTGTGTAATCAATAAAAATCAGTGTAAACTTTAAATGGTCATAACTTAAGTTAACATTGATTGATTTGGACCAGAATTTCTTGTAGTAAAGTTACTTTGATTGTGTATGATCATAAACTCTAACCTTTATAACATAAAAATGGAAGTTTGTCAATGTGTGGGAGTTTTACATTTGTAGTTTGAATATGTAGGAGTGGTTGTGGATCATTAATTCTTCATGTGATGCAATTTCAACATTTCAAAGCCACTAAAAGATTTTTTTTTAAAAAAAATACCTATTTTGAAGTGATATTCAGTTTGAAGTTTAAAATGGAATTCAGTGTATTGCCTTTGGCTCTGTGTTCATTGTATTTTGTAAGTAAATATTGTTTTGAAGACATATTATACTTATGTACATGTAGTGGGTGTTATTAATTTTTAGAGTTCTTTTTTTTTGTAGAAACAGAAGAGCAAGAAATCAAAGTTTTATCCAAGTTAAAAGAAACTGTTGATAAACAAAGAGGAGAGTTACGACATTTACGTAGAGAATTACAACAACAACAAATAGACTGTGAAGCTGTAAGATTAATCTTTATATCAGTCTAATTACACCAATATTTTGTTATGTTTTATTTTACAGTACAACAAAATAATAGCCATTATAAACAAGAATTCCTAGAATTCCCAGAACTATAATATCAATTCCAGTTATTGCTTTCTTCATCACATGTTTTATTAATCTTTGATAAGCAAGACTTTTTTTTTGCACAGAATGTGATAAACCATAAAACCGTAAATAAGTTAAAGTATAAATATTTTAGTGTTTGTAAAGACTATAGAATTAACTGTATTTATTGTGTTGTAGGGTTAAATTCCTTGAGTACAGGGACTTATCCACGAAGACCTAAACATTTTTAAAATGCAGCCTTTTCATTGGCTTAGAGCTCAAATTTTCAGTTAGATTTGAACTCTCAACAAATAAAAAGACTGCATCATTAAAATATTTTAGTTTAAGTCTTCATGAATAAAAACCCTGGTAGCTAAGTTATGAGAGCATCATATACACTCAAACAGCCAGGTTTTGGGGTTTTTTTTTTTTAAAAAGGGCATAGTTTATTAGACCTTCATTTGTCAGACAAAACCATTATTTTCCCCAGTTATTACAATGCTCAGGCTTTGTGATGGTATAAATATTGAAAACCCTGTAAAGAGAAAACCCCACGTGGCATTATCTCGCTTTGACTTCCATGTGTGTAAAATTGAGCTGTAAAATTGTGTGATCTGAAGTCAAATCTTATTGTAAAATAAAGCACAATTTTTATTTGTTCATTTATAGTTACAATTACAATTAGAAAGAATAGCCAAAGTTAACGCTGATCTTAGACGAAAAAACAATCTTCATACGAAACAATCAGCTACATTAATAGAAGAACAATCAGAATTAGCTGAGGCACTCAAGTCAAAAGATGAACAAGTTCAACAAATAAAAGAAAGACTTCAAGAACAGGATAATGATGAAGTCAAACGAATAGCAGACATAAGAAGATTAAGACATGAATCAAGGGAAGATTCGGTACCTACATATTTAAATTCTCTTCAACACTACCACCCACCACTCCCCTCTCTACATTTGTATCTGTTTTATATTGATTATAGACAACACTTAACATGTTATTAACAAACCAGTCTATTTTTACTATAAATACACTCTTTAACTAAAAGGAAGTAACAAAACTCAAAGGAATATATTGATAGATTTTGTCTGTGAAATGTATTTTTACCCCAACACTAGAATGTGAAGATGTAACTCTCTAAAAATTTAATCAGTTGTATTATGAGTTAAAGGTCAACTACCCAGACAACTGGAGTCAAGGATAATTGCTGACTCAGGGACAACTCTTACAAAATACAATTCATAATTAAATTATTTTATTATTAGAATGTGTAATTGAACAATTTAAATCAGAATGTGTTTCCATCTGAAATATAAAGTTGGTTAATCCATACAGAAACCAAGTAACACATTAACTAAATGAAATGAAATGGGGTTTAACGTCCTACTGTTCTGCTCCTAAACTGGGCTAATGAAGACAGGCATATGCCATACAGTGTGCTATGAGGGAAGTTTTGCCTGGGCAGCGGCGCTACGGCCTACTCTTATATCGAATTCCAACTGCCAAGGAAATTTTTACGTGCACGTCAATGTGTACACGGGACCTCGGTTTTTCGTCCCATCCGAATGACTAGACTGCTGTCCTTGTCAGACCCTCCGTCCTGCATCACTGACAAGGGGGAACCACGCCGGAAAATCTGGGTGAACTTTCTCGGCCAATGCAGGGATCGAACACCTGACCTCCAGACTAGTGAGCCAGCGTCTTACCCACTTAGCCACCGTGATCCTAACCTAAAATACAATATGGCTTGAAATAATTACACACATATATGTATGGAAACAGGATATGTTTAAATATTTAAATCCATTCAAAATATAAGAAAGAATTGGGGATAATTATTAAATTTGCTTATTTTCTCTAATAATGTATTTCAGGAGGATGAAAATTGTGAAAATATTGAAGATTTGCGACATCGATTAAGTATGGAGGGCAAGATGATTATTGACCTAACTGATCCAAATCGACCAAGATTTACACTTCATGAATTACGTGAGGTTCTAATGGAAAGAAACGAATTAAAAACTAAATTAATTGAAATTGAAGAAGAACTGAGTCTGTACAAACCAAAGTTAGTATTTATATGTTTTTCTGTAGATGTGGGAAGCTTATTGTGCCATGTGTTTGTGTGTGCTTATTGTGTCTTAGAAAAATGACTGTCAAAACTAAAATAATCCAAGTATCAACAAAAATATAGTTCAGATTTCAGATAAATGTAACAGAACATATGATAGACTTAAAAATAAATCCTAATTGTTAATCAATCCAAAAATTATCCAGAAACTATTAAAGCTATAAATACTTGAATTACTGCTCTTGGATAAATTGACACAAAGCCACAATTAAAACTATTTTTGGATTGTGGTAATTGAACCTAATCAATGAAGTCCTTGACTATTATTTACTATTTGACAGATATTTGTTCTCCTGATGTTTATATATCTTATTGTAAAACACAGCTTTCAATGTCTGGCCTAACTTCAATTAACTACATCAGTTCAAGGAACTATAAACGTGACATAAAAGATCATTATGTTAAATGAGAGGTTTTAGCCACAGATCATGCCAAATTTGGGGAATTAATTTATGCAAAACAAGAAAGAAAACAATAAGAAGACTAAATTTTTGGTCTTTATATTAGCTGATCTTGTACTAAAATATCAGAATGCCACAGTGTTATATTTTGATTAATGAGAATTGTTCTTGTGCTTAAATTGACACTTGTGTCATTTCCCCTGTAAAGCATTGTATGACTCATTCTGCTTATTCTGCAACAGCTGTATGGAAGGTTATCACCTAGAGGTGATTTTTGGCTGAATTGAATTTGTACCTAGGTATTTTACCATTGATATATATTTATATAAAAGTTAAGAAATAAGATAAAAATAATTTGTCAATAGATTAAATAACTTCTTATTAGATTGATAAACTTTCTTTTTTGTAACCAGGTCCCATTTCAATAGAATTCATCATCTTGTGTACAGTATTGTAAAGAATAATCAATATATCATGTAGGCTAAATCTAGTGTTACTGTTATTTTGTAAATTCACTGTTTAATTGAATAATGATTGAAATTGCAATTCAAATGTTAAAGATTCCATGACACATTGCTTACATAACCAGTTATGACACATTTACAGCATATGCAGATATTAATCATTACATTGATCTTTTACTAACAATGAGTTTTTTAAGGAAAGATGTTGAATATATACCCAAATTTTGAAAGAGGAAGTTAATATTATAAGTCATCCAGTTTTACTGCACTTTCTGTCTATTTCTAACACTTCCTCAATTAATTTATTAACATGATGAGCATCTGACTAGAACAAAAACACCACAACACTTGTTATTTCTTTCTTTTACATCACATTTTAATTATTACTAACCATAAATATTAGAACTGAAAATACTTTTTGTAATTAAATAGACAGTGATGACTCGTAAGGGTAATGCTGCATGGTTGGTTGTTCCATGCTCTTTCCACAATTGAAAGCTATGTAGATAATTCTGCTTGCCTTTCCATTTCAAAGATACTCTTTTTTGTATGTTTATGTCTTAACCATTCATTAGAGAAACTAATGTTTTCTATTTCAAAAGTTAAAAAAGATGTTGTTATTATCAGGGACACATCAATTAACATCTGTTGAATGAGTCAGAAGGAGATTATTAAATGTCCTTTATAGCTTTATCTAATATTCTATTTGTGCTAAAAATCTTTGGATTTATGTACAGGATTCTGCTTTTGCTTCTTGTGTAGTCTTATATAGTTAACAGCTTTTAACCCACAGCATGTTTTTTTTATCTTTTTGCCGCATAGTGAATCGTCTGAGAAGGATCGACAAAATGACAAGTAAGTCATCCTACATTTTCAAAATTTTCCTATAAATAATTTTATAACTACTAATATGTGTATTTTTACGGTGATTTTCAATTTGTAATTCTTTTGTTTAATGTCTTACCATAATTTGATATATGAACTAAATTCTTGAACAATAAAAATAACTTCATTGAATACATCTATCTACCAAAAGGTGATTCATAAAGTTTATTTTCCTTATAGCATCTCTGCAGATCTAAAACATTATTATTCAATGGTTTACTATGTCAAAAATTTATACTTTTATAATCTTATAACCTAAATTAAAAACACTTATATGGATATACTACTTCTGAATTTATTAACATGCTACTTTTCGTTAATAAATTCAGAAGTAGTATATCCATATAAGTGTTTTTAATTTGTGAAATCTACCTCTGTATGTCTTATAAGGATTATCTTATAACCTTTAATTAAAACAAAGAACTTAAAATATTTTAACAAATAGCTTTGCTTTGCCTTAGCTCACAGTTACAATTGATTTCTGCTGTATTGTTAATTTATAACACTAATTTTACACTATTTTAACTTGCCATATTTCTTTTCTTGGTATTTATCGAAGATTCAACAGATATTACTCTTTCTTTATTCAAAAGCTTTTCTCTTTTGCCAATTTCTTCTCTCAAATTTATATAACTTTTACATTTGGTACATCAATCCCACCAATGAATTCTATTGGCAATGGGGGGGTTGGATGGCTGAATGGCTGAATGGTTAGCGTGTGGGCGCTGTATCATAAAGTCTGTCATTGAGTCAACTGGCGTGGTTTCAATTCCCCGGTTGTACGTGACAAGGAGTAGGGTCACCTGTCCAACCTTGTGGGTTTTCTCCGGGTCCTCCAGTTTCCTCCCACTGCTAAAGACCCCTACGCGCAAGTGAATTATTGAAATAAAAATTAAAACCATATGTTAGTCCCGAAATGACCTAGTTTGTGTCGAGTGGACGTTAAACCCCATTTCTCTCTCCCTCTCTCTCTCTCTATTGGCAATGATCTAAATGCAGTCATTTTCAACTTTAAATACTGTTCGATGGCACATTGATAAATCCTGTGTAACAAGGCGTATTTAACGCACAATGACTAGGGTAATCGCTTTAGTAAATTGTGAAATGAAATTTCAGCAACCATGAAAATGTAGAGGTATATGATATATTTTTCTTCAAATTTGCAGGTGTTTTTCATTTAATCAGTAGGATTAAGCCTATTGAAATTCAGAATTTTTTGATCGCAAATTGCAGAGTTATCTCTCTATTTACTTTCCGACTAACTGAATATTTAAAACTGGGCAAGATTGTTCATTAAGATTTAAGGAAGAAAATTTCAAAGCTTTCCAGTCATAAATTCTAAACAAGTGTTTTCAGTCTTGCCTTTTAGGCCACATTTTGATATTTTAAGCTTGCGAAAGCGATACCGAATCAATTTCTCAATATAAATTTTAAAAATTTAGTTGGATTGTTCAGCAGTACGACATTGCAAAATGACATCATACAAATCTTCAATAAATGTGTCTAAATTAGACCAAATTGGATGTATGTTTATTTTGTAAGAATTTATCGATATTTTGCAGAGGAGCTGGTTATAGAGGAGAAGAAGTTTTAGTTTATGGACCAATCAACAAAGAACCGGAGCATAAAATTAATCCTGTGAAAAAACAAGGCGGAATACGCAAATTGTAAGTATACAATTATGCCATCTCTCTTGTTTTGTTTATCATTTTGTTCCTATGGAGATTAATGATAATGTGAAAGCTATTAATACAATTTTCCTTCCTGTGAAATATTAAGTTTGATTTTATCTTTCTGTATTTTCGTGTCCTAAACTTGATTATCCAATCTCTTCATTTAAAACTTGTTTTGCAAGTGACTGGATAATGAAATATTTTATATCCTCACATAACATGTGATTTCAATAGGAATGGGTAACCAGAACTGGGACATGGAAATATCCTCTGGAAAAGTTTTTTATTCACGTTATTTTACTCCCAATTTGGAAGTCTCAATAATGAAAGATAAACAGTTTTATCATTAAATCATCTGTGTTTAAAATGTTTGTATATGTTGCGCTTTGTATTAGAATAGAAATGTAACCTACTGACATCCATGTAAAAGCAACAAATTCTACATATTTATGACAAATATGTGATAGTATTTATCTTTTCTTTTATTGTATATAGCTTTCAGTCTCTAATAGATGAATTGGATTTACCACAGTTAAACTTTTAATCTTATTGCTAGGTAACAGTTTCAGTATGTCTTCATTTCTAACTGTATTCTTATATATCTTGTGATTCAGTATATCAAGAGAGTTATCCTTCCTTTAGTGGGAGTAATCATTTTACTGTTAAATGTGTACTTCAAAAAGTTTCAGTTATTGCTTGCTTTGTTTATGTATTCTTCATTTGAATTGACAACACAACAGAAAAAACCCAACATTGTTCTAAAATAACATGGTCCACCAAACATTGTCTAAATCTGTCCGTCTTAAAACAGAGCTTAAAAATGCAGTATTGATAATCTTGATTATTTTATTTTTCGTTGTAAAAGGGTTGGGAGAATGGAGATGATCCTTTATCTGACCAATATTTTTTTATTGTGAACATGATTATAATTGGGATAATATAGAAATCATTTGTCTGATTTGATTAGCTTATTTTATATTGTACAAACTTATCACATTTTTTGACAAAAGTCAGTATATCATCCGACAAACAGTGACTATATTAGCAAAAATTGACCTCCAAAAATATTTTGTTTCTGGCAAAAGGTAGATTGATTTATGATTGGATGACAATGTCTGCCTAGAGCAGAAGATTGTAATTGAATGATATACTAAAAATATTATTGACTTTCTGTCATGTTGTCCTTTACATAATAGTTGTCAGCATATTGTCATGTAGATTTTTTTTTTTTGATCAATTGTTTTTAATTTGCTTAGAAAGAATTATTATTTCATTTGTGTAAATACTGTATTAGCATTATTATTCTCATCAATAATACCTCATTAAATTTATTGTTAATGTTATGATAAAACTTTGATACAATTTACATATTTTTTAAGAAATGATTAATCGTAAATTCTGCATGTACATGGATGTCAGTGCTTTTTTGTAGTGTTGCATAAAGTATTATTTTGCATGATAAATTATGTTGTTCAGAATGTTGCCAGTATATATGTTACAAATCTTTGACACTGTTAAATTTCGCTGACATTTATTTATTCAATGATCAGTATGAGAAATTGATAATTCTGTGTTAATGCTTATGTATTAAGGTGGTAGAATGGTTTAGGATTAGCATTTTGTATTTTCCCAACTCGTAGTTCCATACACATCTAGTAATTTTAACACATGTGACTGCCTTGTTCTGTTATTAACTAGCCAAAAGATCTCAATAAGTGTATGATTTTATATTCATTGTGTATAAGAAACATATGATCAGGCCAAATTATGTTTTCGGGGTAGAAAAGAAATGAAATGGGGTTTATCTTCCTATTTTTCTACTCCATCTGGGCTAATGAAGATGAACGTTTGCCATGCAATATGCTATAAAGGGAATTTTTCCTGATATGATATTTCAGGGTACAATAAATAACTGAAGAAAAACATATATTATCCGGGAGAAAAACATTTGTAGGAAATCACATCCAAATTACCATGAAATATTTTAGATAAAATTAAGTTTACAGAGTCAAACAGATGAGCTTATTGTCGAGGGAATATATCTTTAAGCGACAATGGCTATGTAATGCAGATTTAATGATAGATTTATGTAGATTAAGAGATAATTAGTAAAGTATGTGGTATATATAACATTGATCACTGACTTTTTGGTCCTTAATTCTAGGTTTTAGTATTTGCTTAAAGAGCCATTATTCTTCTCACCAAGAAAATAAAATAAATTTTAAATAATACAATATTAAAAATAACCTTAGACTGAGTAATTTTCATAAATTCGAGCACTGACCTTCTTTTTAAAGAAAATACTAAAACCTAATAAACTGAAAGTTAAAACATGTTTAACTGAGTGATAACTTGGCAGACTTGACGTAAATTTGTGTACAGATCAATAATATGATGTCATGACATTATTATCAATGGCATTTATATATCAATATTTTATTTCAATAATTCGCTTGCCTGTATAGAAGGAAACCGTATAACCCCAAGACAACACAAAAGTTTAGACACATGGCCCTAGTCCTTGTCACATACAAGGATTGAAACCACACGACTTGGCTCAATAACAAACCTGTTAGACATTCCCCACACCCCCACCCACCCATTCACCTCAATGAATGTAAGGCGTATTGGTCTCTAAAAATCTTCTTCAGCTATCAACTGGTCAAGAATAAGACACTTATTGCTGAGCTGTGGTGTATTTAAAACAAACTGTAGATAACAATATGTTGTTTATAAGTGGCATTTAGTAATTGATTCTTTGCTTGATAAAGATGAGAAAACCCTTGTGAAAATGTTGCCAGAAATAAACTTTTACATAACTTGTATTCCATATAATTGTGTTATGTGTTATTATATGTTTATAAACATAATTTTAATTTGTTCTCCATATTTAACTTCTGATTTTCTTGTATTTTTCAGTTTTGGGTTTTTATTTGGTGACGACTCACCCCGTTCCAGTCCGCAGAAATCTAAACGTAATTGACCATATTATTGTGAAGAATATAGCAACATCTGTGATGATATCATGTCTTCAGGAGAAGATAACTGTGAGAATATTTTTCTTCCTGCTGCATTCTGGGAAAGTGATACCCTTTGATGAATATAGCTTATACCGGTATAAAATTCCACATAAACTTCAAAACACCAAAAAAGTACATGTCTTGTTGAATTGAATTAGAAATGAAATACCTTATTTAAACACAAAATACTACTCGATTGTTTGGTTGTTTAAGCTTTGTTTAATTGTAGTTTAAAACATGTTTTTTATTATCATTCCTGTGTTAAAACATATCCACTTTATGTTTTAAGTGTATTTTATTAATTTTGCATATTGCATAATCCGTTTTATTATAATATTACATGGCTAACGATGTTGGATAAAGATTGATTTGTCTATGTATAGACTTCTGTATGTCAATAAATTATACTTTTATTTTATTACAAAATATTAGCATATGTTCTGATTGCCAGGTCCTCTGCTGAACATTAATCATGCTTGATGGACATATAGAATGTGGTTCATACTCACAGGGACTCAAATGTATGACCTGATTTGTTCAGGTTTCCATTACTTATAATTGAAGACAAGAAAGAAACAAAGCAAAATGTTATCCAATAGCCTCAGGTTCCTGTAGCCTCATGTACTGTTTCAAATATCAACAAGAAGACGTTGTCATCAACATCATGCGGCCTTATACATAAAAAAGAATTGAATTTGTTTCCATGGAAACACAAATATAATCAATTCTGAAAAATTTCTAATTATCAAAAGGCACAACCTACTATAATAAGTTCATGTATACAATTACAAACAAAGTATCATAAAGTTTTCTTGAACGGTTTATGCATATTCTCCGGAAACAAAATCAGGATTGAGGACGGATTGAGTTTGTGCCTAACTTTTTCCGATAGGGGATAACAATTATAATCAGGAATGCAAACAAAATGTCATAATCTTCTGTTTTCTAAATTTTGATGTTGAATATTATATCCCATGCCTCTGTTTTGTTTGTTGATGCTACAATCAGTACAGTTACTATAGTAACATACACATTTGGACAGCAGTTTGTTTCATACATTATATGTACCTGGTTAGCTGCACACAACTAAGATTAAAAATTTGATTCCCTGTGTTTATACTGTATCTGTATTGTGCGATTACTATTGTGATGAAATCCCTTAATTCAGCCTACTCTTATAATGCACAGTTGACTAAAATACATACATAAACTTACATGAATGCCAGTTCTGGCTATAGGTTCTCAGAAATTCTTTTTGTTTGACCAAGGGTACCAGTTTAAAAAAAAAAATTCATTTGTGTAATAATTAATTAATAATATAGAATCTTAAAACTTTTCACCGATTCTAATTGGCATAATAAAATAATGTGGGATTTGTGTGATAGATCATATTTAATTGTATAGTTTTATAATATATTTTAAGCTCAGACATTCTACAGTAATTGTACATGTACTGACCATTAGAATACAATTATATTTATTAAATTTATATATCTAATGGATCAATATTTATAATATTTCAATTATGCACAATATTTACTAATATATCTAAGTAATACATTGGTAACAGGGTACCTGAGCTGAGGATTCCAATAAATTTATCTTATATTGAAGCAATTAACATTGTTCAGGTCATTAACCCACATGTACATACTGAAGTACAACAAACAATGTTAGTTTTGAAAATAGATTTTGAATTGGATTTTTCATGACTAAATCCAATTGTAATCACACAGATTGTCTCCACTTGGACCTCAACAAATTTATCGAGCATGAAAATGTCAAAGATAATGCAGAGGTATATATCTGTGTCCAACATATGACATTGGACAGGATGTATTGAGACAAAATTGTATTACATGCTATTTCATCCTGACCGATGTTCATTGTAGTTGAATGGAGTAATATCATACATAGATTTTGATTTCCTATGAAAGTTTGTCCATTGTGTTGTGTACTAAGGTGAATCATGGAAAGTGTATGGTTTGGAACCAGAAGGGGAGTTTACTGGCATACCTTGTTCCACTCGTATCACTTTTGGATAAATCAATAACTAATAAATGTACATTAACTGGATATAAATTATAAAACAAGCAAGTGCTATAGAAGAAAAATATAAAGGTTAAATAAATTGAAATTACTTTGTTGGTGAAAAATACTCATTTTGTATATATTATTGATCATGTTGCATTTATGTTTTTATAAAAGGACTAATTAATTAATAATTGGTTACCATAATTAGAATGTTTGTTTTATAAAGATTTGTTCTGATCAATTACATATAGTTATCTAAATTAAGTTAAATTATTTTTTATTTCATGTCAGTTATTTATTCGCATGTATACATACCAATAATAATATGAATGGATTTATTTAATTAAAATTGCTTTTACCTATGAAAAGAGAGCAATTATATATGAGCTCATTATAGATTTATTTAAATTGAACCTCAGAAATAGGTTAAAATAATGCACACTTAACACATCTTACATGACATGAATCTAGTAAGACCTATGGCTTATTTTAGTGTGGATGATGTTCATTGAATTAAGTTCTTAAATGCATCATGACATTATAATTAATGCTTAAAATAGCATGGTGCCTTAGTTACTTAACCTTGTGATTACACTGCATTATTTAACAGTAGTTTATTTGTGTACAAATATTATTATTTATTAGTATCATATATTTATGACAAGAATTAATATTACTGTTAGTGATTATAATGTTATATCATTTTCACAACTCAGAATGAAATAGGACATGACTAGGCAGCTTTATATTACTTTTCAAGAATCATCCTAGACATGGAATGAAAAGACAGTATGCCTGCTGCCATTTTTAATTTGTATGTTAAAGTAACAATGGGTCATTTGCATTTTTCGCTAAAAATATCAATTTTCTCATAGCTTAATTCACACTTATATTATTTAATAAAACAAAATCAAAATACCAAGGCTAGATAATGTCCTGGCTTGGATTCAATCAGATTTAAAACAGGTCTCTCAATAAATTTTCACGGACAACAATATGCAAACAGCATAGATGGATAAAGTTTCAATTCCACATATCTTTGTAAATACAGAACAGATTTGAGCCATTTTTGGACTGATATACCTATTAGAGAATCATTTTTCACAATATTGTAGTTTGCAAGTAATTCTATAGTGCTAAAATGACACACAAAGACTTTTCATGAAGAATGCAATTATCCTTCCATTGTTTTAAAACTAATGGAAGGAATTACGGCCACAGGTTGTTTTAGCAAGTTACATGTACATAGTTTGATGGTCTGCCTGTACGCGTAACACAATTCTAGTAAACTTATTGTGGTCATGTTCATAATCTTATCTCTATCTTATCATAATATTTAATAAACTCAGTATCTAGTTACCAGAATTAAGTACCATTTTTAAAAACACTGTATTTTAAGCGAAAATAAATATTAAGATATTATGTTTTTTTTATGAATAAGGGCTGATGACTGCAGAAACTTTATTCCTTTTTCAAACCAATGTATATTATATGAATGAAAAAGAACAGCTTTTGAGTGAAAGTAAATGTTAAGAAATAATATTCTGTTTGTTTCCAAGACTTTATTTTTTCTGGGATTATATTCTAAATGTAGATATCATATAAACATTATATACATCAATAATAACATTTAATCATTAATCATTAATATTCTCAGTGAATTTATTAAAAATCCCATTTCTACTTTAACACTGAACGTACTCACCAAAATTCAAATAATCTCAGTAAACTACAACCTCTAATATTTGTCAGTTTCTAAAAATGATGTTTTGTACATCTTTCATTATGGAATGATTTATAGTTGTGTTGGGCCCCTGCTGATATAATGATTATGTATCATCAATTTAGTATTGACCTTTCTAGATTAAAAATGGGTCCTTAACTAGCCTTGTGTTTGAAACTAATTTTTCAGCAGGGTTACAGATTTTGGAGTTATCTGAGTTTATTTGAATGATATGATATTTCAAACAGACTGATTAAATATTTTGTGAAATGCGATATGTAGGATGAAAATTCTGTTAATAACACATTATCAATATTATTTAATTTGTATATTTAGATTTTTAATGTAATGAATATTAATTGATTTTTAATGAGAATATTATAATTAGTTTTATACTGTATTCATCTGAATTCCCAAAACTAGCAAATTGTAATTATAAGTTAACATGGTAACTAATACATACATTAATAAACAAATAATTACAATTATTGTTATTTCTTTTTTTATTATAATTAAAATTATATCTTTCTTTTTTTATGGTTCTATGTTATCGTGCAGAAAAATAGGAGGTTAATCCCCATTTCATTTCATTTTATGGTTCTGATTACTACAACATGTATTCAAAATGGCTGCTGTTCAAATGTCTTGTTATGTACAAAACTGCAGAGAGGTTATAAATAGATTTTGTCCTGAATTCAATTTAAAGCTTGGTCTTGTTAATTCAGAATTATGTTGACAAAATATTTTGTTTTGTCATGGCACCAAAGCAAAACTAAGGAAATAAATCATCGATGGCCGAGGGGGATGGATGGCCGAATGGTTAGCTTGTGTGCGCTGTATCATAAGGTCTGTCATTGAGTCAGCTGGCGTGGTTTCGATTCCCCAATTCTATGCGACAAAGAGTAGGGTTACCTGTCCAACCTTGTCGGTTTTCTCTGGGTAATCCAGTTTCCTCCCACTGCTAAAGACCCCTGCGCTCAAGTGAATTATTGAAATAAAATTGAACCATATGTTAGTCCAGAAACAATCTGATTAAAACACAGATCCTATTTCGTTTCGTTTTTTATAGTTCAAAATTTTGTTTTACTTGTTTTTACTACACTAGGATCTGAAAGAGTTGTTTAATATGCATTCTGAATGATGTGAGGGATTAGCCAATGAAATGGTCTGTTGCAGCGAGTTCTTGACGTGCAATGCACATAACTGGGTATTCCACTAGAAACATCATCGCTTATTGGTTAATCAAATGTCTGATGTCACAAGGTCGAAAGCCGCTAGTATGACCAACTACAACTAGTCTGATTTTCTTGCAGTAGAGGCCATCGAAAGTATAAAAGATAGGTTGCCAGGCAACGAAACATACACCCACAACAGCTAAATCGTCCGAGCGGTCAACAAGGGTTGTCACATATTTTTACTTTTTTCGGTTATGAAACATTTATAATACACTAAAATCTGATTAAGAGCAATAACTCATGAATTATCAGAAAACCATTAGAATTTGTTTGTTTTTATAAAGTTCTGCTCCATGCTAACGTTTTGTATACAAAACTTTTAATATCATGGATTTAACTGTTCAAGACATAGAAATTCATTGAAAATCAATATACTTGTTCGTCTCAAGATCTTAAACTCTGTGTATCAATCTGAAGTCAATCGGATGATAACTAGCCTTTAGAGCGTCACTAAGTGGGCCATAACTCTGGCAGTAATTATCGGAAATCGCTGAAAATCAATAGGCTTCTTTGTCTCATGACCTTAAACACTGTGTATAAATTTAAAGTCAATCGGATATTAACTTTGGCCTTTAGAGCATCCACAAGATTTTTTGAAGTGATCAAGGGCCATAACTCTGGCAATAATTATCAGAAATTGTTGAAAATCAATAGGATTCTTCGTCTCATGACCTTAAACACTGTGTATAAATTTAAAGTCAATCGGATATTAACTTTGGCCTCTAGAGCGTCCACAAGATTTTTCAAAGTGATCAAGGGCCATAACTCTGGCAATAATTATCTAAAATTGTTGAAAATCAATAGGATTCTTCGTCGCATGACCGTAAACACTGTGTATAAATTTAAAGTCAATCGGATATTAACTTTGGCCTCTAGAGCGTCCACAAGATTTTTCAAAGTGATCAAGGGCCATAACTCTGGCAATAATTATCTAAAATTGTTGAAAATCAATAGGATTCTTCGTCGCATGACCGTAAACAATGTGTTTAAATTTAAAGTCAATCGGATATTAACTTTGGCCTCTAGAGCGTCCACAAGATATTTCAGAGTGATCAAGGGCCATAACTCTGGCAATAATTATCGGGAATCGCTAAAAATCAATAGGCTTCTTGGTCTCAAGACCTTAAACACTGTGTATAAATTTAAAGTCAATCAGATATTAAATTTGGCCTCTAGAGCGTCCACAAGCAATTGTGGACCCCGGACTGACGGACCTACGACAATATAGACCACATTTCAATATGGGCGTATAAAAAACGAAACAAAATATAGATCTGTATTTTAATCAGATTGATCCTGAAATGACCTAGTTTGTGTTGAGGACGTTAAACCCCATTTCTCTCTCTCTATTGTGTATGTTCATTGATTTATGACACTTCCTGATCAATGTGGATCCTTTGCTCATTCTCCCTCTCGGTTTGTATCAGATATGAATTATGGATCTCTGTATAGAAACAGCTGTTCCAAGTTAAAGGAGCTAAGTCACTAATATTTGGGACCTAGAAATTGGCACAAATGGGTCGCAACACATATAATAATGTAATATGAATTTATATAAACTGTTTTACATTCAATCGTGTCCGTTTTACTGTGAATTGTCATCAGTTATGTTCGGCGAAATACGCCAGAAGTCTCAACCGCAAGTCAGTTTCTAGTGTCTGGTTATTCCAGTCAACACCGATAATATTTATTGCGCATGCTTTCCAAATAAGAACATGATATCACCGTTTCACATGACTTGTGGAATATGTCTAGTCTCATTCTTTGAGCACCTTGTTACAAATGGCGCTGAAACGCATTATGGTACACGATTCGTGTGCCAATGGTAAAATGTTTATTTTGTCTTAAATATTGGATATCAGAAGCCCATCTTTTCCAGGTAAGATCACAACACCAATGCTGATTTAAATTGCCCAAAAAATCGTGTTTTCAATGTCGAAGATTTTGGATGATATTGAGTTACAGACTTAGCTACTTTAAAGGAGGCAAGTCGCTAACTAAGTATCATCCACAGTCTTCGACATTGCAAACACGACTTTTCAAAGCCTTCCCAGGCAATAACTTTGAAAGTAATAATTAAAAGGCTTTGAGTGATAATTTTATACTCCAGAGAATCAACAAGAGAATGTGATAATGACATTTAATTGAGCCTGTATAGGCCTAAAAATGAAATGGGTTTAACATCCTACTGTCAAGGGTTCTTTTATGTGCACACCACATGGAAAGCCAACCTCGTGGGTTTTCTCCGGTTTCCTTTCACTGCTAAAGACCCCTACATGCAAGCGAATTATGGAAATAAAATTGAACCATGTTAGTCCCGAAATGACCTAGTTTGTGTCGAGTGGATGTTAAACCCCATTTCTCTCTCTCTCTCTCCCATTGGAAAGACTAGACACTGTTCACTGAAAGGCAGAAACCACACTGAAAACTTTCTGGGTCAACAAAGGGATCAAACACTGTTAGTCTTACAAAGCTATTGTGCCTGGTTGCATTCAATTAAGATGCCCATACAAAAGATAGGTTGCTGGGCAATGAAACATACAGCCACAGCAGCTTAGTCATCCGGGCAGTCAACAAGGGTTGATACATATTTTTTCTTTTGTCAGTAATGAAAACATTTATGACACACTATAACCTAATTAAGAGTAACAACCCATTAAAGATACATTATGGGAGATTTTTATAGAGAATTGGCCATTCTTGCTATAACAGTTCAAAAGTAGATGATGAAAGAAGAATATATTGAAAATTTCAGTCAAATTACTTTATTCTGAACATAGTTATCATCGTTGTAATATTTGACTAGAAATGGTAGTGAAATGTGCCTTCACCTTGGGCGATTGTTTGATTGACAGGCGTTAACTCCACCTACATATCTCAATTATCAAGTAAAGTTTTCAATGGCATGCGGAAACGCTCTACAGCGGCCTCGCTAAGTACACTCTATCATTTAGCCTCGATCTAACTGACGTATTCTCATCAGGATGCGCCATATTTGAATTAATTAATAAGTGAAATCCTATTTAAATCCGAGCTGTAGCCAAGCCATCTGTGGGTCTATAGAGTTGATTTTGGGCTTGTTGTTTAAATAAAGATCTAATTTATAATTTCTATAACATCTGAAGCCTAAATTAAGACTTGCAATAATCAGATTTTGCTCTTGCATAATGTATGTTTAAGTAATTATCAGAAATCATAAGAATTTGTTTCGGTTGTTTGTCTCATGACCTTAAACACTGTGTATAAATTTATGTTAACTTTAGCCTCTAGCGCATCCACAAGATTTCTCAAGTGATCAGGGGCCATAACCTCGGCAGTAAATATCTGAATAGGTTTCTTCGTCTCAAGATCATACACATTGTGTATAAATTTAAAGTTTATCGGATAGCAAACTTACCCTGTAGAGTGGGGTACAAGATTTTTCAATAGGATTGATCTCTCATGACTGTAAAAACTTAAATTTAAATTTAAAGTGAATCAGATATTAACTTTAGCATCTAGACTGACCGACAGCAGATGATGTACAGACAGGGGCGACAGCAAAATACAAGCACATTTTAATGTGGGGTATAAAAAACAGTAACAAGATATATTTATCATTTGTTTATTACAAAACCCTGTATTTGTAACAACAAATATGGAGGGAAAATAAATGGAATTTTTTTTTGTTTCTCAACTAAATTTTCAACAATAATGTGGCATACATGCAAACTTGGTCAGTTTAATTAATTAGTTTATTTTAATACAGAAACAATTTTTATATATTAAAGAAATATAAATTCCAACTTTGTTTTTACGAATGAGAATATAAATTTGTTTTGCGGAAAATGGAAAAAAAATACAGATTCTTATGGAAACCTTCATTTGGAAATAAATTTGATAATTTTAACTTTCTCTCGGGTGATCAATGTAGAAAGATTTTGTTTGCTTTATCTTACAGATATCTAAATTTACTGAACAACAGATAAATTACTATTAATTTTAGCACAAAAATATAAATAATTTACTGATCAATAAACATGAGCTTACACTATCCACATTGTATATATTACACAGAAATCATTTGTAATAATATGATTACCATCATGGTAACAAAGTAAGCAGTTACAAAGAGGTTATAACTATAATATTCCATGTCAACCAATGATTTACCACTGGTCACTATAGCAACCATATTTAGGCGGTAGATTAACAGTGGTTATGTAACATAATGGCACCACTGTCACCATTGGTGAAATATGTGGTTTTATCAATGATATACCCGGGTCATAAAGGTTATTCTACAGTAACCAATATTTACCATAGTAACCACTACAGTTACCATAACAATATACATGTATTACAATAATTTAACACCTTCATCCATAACTTAGGATTGGCACACACACAAACTTGATACATTACCATTTTTTAACAGATTAATTAATAGTGCATTTCAAACAAGTTTTACATACATACATATTTATACATATTCACACACCATATTTACATAATAATAATAATAATAACACAGAGTAACAGAAGTGATAAAATATGAAATGTTTAACCTAAAACAATGGATTTATTTTAATAACAGATTAAATGAAATGACCTAATTCAAGGTCCTATTTGGCTTTTAGTGCCCTATTCACCTGTAAATGAAATAACAATTATGTAAATTTGTTTTCATATTAGCACCAATTGTTTAAATAGTGGAGTATTTTCTCCAGAGTTCTTTAATGGAGAGACAATATTTCCAAATATGAGGTATAGAAACTTGATAAAAAGGTCAAAGGGCAATCTGGAACCTTGTTTAACCACCATATGGGTTCAAGGATTTGAGCAGAGTTTAATTTAAAGTTTAAGATGTTAATGAGGATCTTGATCTTGTGACTTAAAGATAATTAAAATAGAACACATTTTACATGGACACCTAAAGATAAATACTACAATAGGAAACAATATTATATAATGTTTCATTTTCTTTTACACTATAATCATATACAGTACTTAGTGTAGTGTAAGCTCTCCAAATATAGTTTATTTGACACAGGTAATTAATTAAACACTTATCTTTATTTCAATACCAATAGGTTACCATATATCCAATACATGGAATATCCTACAATGTACATAAACATTCTGTACTTATCAAGCTTTTAACACAGAGAATACAACAGTAATATTGATAAATGTGTGACATTTGTTCTTAAATCTGAATAGATGTATGTTAGTATTAATCCTAAAATGTACATTATTACAATGAGGAATGTTATGATTTTAATTAACGGAATAAATGAAATAAATGACAATCATGTCTGTGTTTCTTTTGTCAAACAGTCTAGTGATAGAGTTTAACTTAACTAACAGGCATGAATTAACACACAGAGATCAAAAATTGACTATGTTACAAATCATGTTATTTAACAAATCTATTGTAACTACAGTGTCTTATAAAATATATGTTCCTACAAATCTGTTAAATTATCACCATTTTTTTTTTTTTTTTACTTTAATGAAAGACTAAGGCAGTTTGAATAATTAATATGTACCAGGGCTATTGAACACAGCCACAGCCACCCCCACCCTTCTTTTTTTTTGCAAATAAACTTCACAATGTTAAAGATGCTTAATGAATCAGATGTCATCCAACACATCTCTAGAGCCAAATCTACACGCCTTAAGCTGAGTAAATTATCTCCTAATACAAAATATAATTGGTCTGATACTGTAAAACAAATAATTAATAATTAATGTGGCAGGTAATGAATGTGACCTTTATCAGGTACATAATTGTAGGAGTACTGGCCTAACTGTGTCTGGAGATAAAAAAAATTTGGTCAAGATGAAGAGGCCAAAATGACATGTTTGTTTTGGAAGTAAGATTTTTGGTCAACTTTTATAGATAAAATTAACGAAGGACACTGATTACTATCTAATTAATCGCGGTTGATTACTCACTTTTTTTTCTTTTTTTTTGCTTTGACTGGTCATAGTTTGTTACTGACAGTCTATAGTAAAGATATGCATAATAAAATATTGGTATATAAGTCAGCAACAGGTCACATTAATTTCACACTAGCATTATTTTCTTGTTTTACAGTACATCATTATTTAAAGCAGATTGATGTAAATTAGTAATTAGTTTTAATATCCCTATTGTATGAGGGATCAAGTGCGTACAGTTTTATTCCCCAACCTCCCCCAATAGCATACATTAATCATACATTCAAAAAATACTTTTACACAATCTTATATACAAGTGTTAACAAATTTAATTTAAACTGCGGTTTCAATGTCGACAAAAATATGGTATAACACTAAATCAGAAAACAAACTTTGTAAGCCAAGCAATAAACAGAATTCATTTTCAATCATTCAAATCACATTGGAAATAATGTAGCACATATATCAATAAGCATGCAAGTGGTCATATAAATGTAGAATATTTTGGTTAGTTTATTGTCAATCATCTCTAATTAAAATGTCTTAACTTTATCTCTCCTTCATCATGCCGATATAAAACTCACATCACAAATCACTCGATCTGCTTCAATAAATCACTCAGTAATTAAATATAGTGGATAACTCACTAATCAAATATGGTGGATCACTCACTAATCAATTATTGTGGATCACTAATTAAATATTCTATCCGCTGAGTAAATAAATATCATTATACATTATGATAATCAATTTCATTTCTCTCACTTAAGTTCAAAGTTCATAAAATACTAACTTAAATTATTTAGTTTTTGTTTATTTAATACAGAACAGATAGATATACAGCATGGTCTTTATTGCAACATACAATCTTTGGTTTTATTAATATTTTTTAAAATATCAAACCTACACAACACTTTGCTTCTGTTCCATAAACTGCTAATGATTGCAAGTTTTTGCACTATATGAAAGGCAAGTATAAAATCTATAAGAATCCCTCTTTCACAATGGTGACCAAATGAATTTTTATTATTTTTCTCGCCAGAGTACATGTACGTTTCTAGGGACTTTCAGTGCTTTTAATACTTAACTGAATCACTTGATTTCACAATTCACAAATAGTTTGGCACTGCTATATGTTCATCACAGCTTAATATCTCAAAATAGATATCCTTATAGATATGGACATCATGTTATGTCTAAAATGCATACAAATAAATTAAAGAAGCTTATTGAGTCATGACTTGTCAGAAGTGTTTTAGGCTTTGATGTTTTGCATAATAATAATAATATAAATTTAGCCTAATGTCATGAGTCTTAATAATCACAGATCACAATAGAAATCCAAACTGGTTTCCATAGAAAAATACAAAACCACAATCACTTTTACGCTTCATTTTCTCACAAGCAAAAACAGAAATCTTTCTTTAAGTAGAATATCCTGTCACACTGCAAATTATTCTCCATTCAAATGGAACAACACATTTTCAAACTATATCCCATACTAACTGTACTATAAGTTTAAGATCAGACGAAGACAGGCATACTAAGTTTATCTGGTTCTTCTATTGGTACAGGATGTTTACATGTGTATGTTTTAGTTGAGCCTTGTGACAGAATGTTGATTAGTGGCTTAACACAATTACCAGGAATTAAACTTCCTGAAAGTAATAAAATAATGACATAGTATTATATATAAAATCTGTCCACTAAAATTACTGAAAGTGTCTGCAGAGGAACATATATATATATAAATGTGTTTTGGGAATACAAATTTAAGACTGAAATGGTCCAAATAGCTTGGCTAAAAACTTGGCTAAATTTGTTGAATATGGTTTATGTTAACTGTACGACAGGCTTGATAATCACAACAATCACCATCAACGCTTACCCCTATATAACCGAGATTTATGTCTATTTGACATTAGTAGGTTTGACATTGTTGCAAGCAAAAATAACTAAATGAAATTGTAACGTGACTAACACTCTTTCAAGTATAGTTTTTGTATGGAAACAGAGCACATGGGTACTCATTCAGTCCGAAATAGTAACTTTTTTAGACATTAACCAACTTAAAACCTTTTGATGTAAATGTAAGCATGCAATCAAGCACACAAACATGCAATCTTCTTTACATCAACTATTTTAAGTAAACCTATTCTAAGGAAATTATCTGTAAATTGTAACTATCAATAAATATAATGTTTGCTTACCAACAATTTTCTGTCCATCCTCTGTCCGTAATCTTATAATTTGCATCTTTGAGCTGGTTCCTCCTGGCATAGATGCTAGAACACTTTCCACTTTACTCCATACACTGAGCACAGAACCACTTAATACATGATATGTGCGTGTTCTTAAACCTATTTCACATGGTAAACCCAGACTTACTTTCTTACAATTTCCACGCCTAAATGACAAACATATTATATCAGTATTAATATATACCCAAGAAGACTATTTAAACTTGTTTTATATCTTGCGTTGAAAAAATAAATATTTTGGTTGATTAAAATGCTTGATTATGATTGAATAAATTAACTAGGTTTACATTATAAATCACTAGATGTTCTGTTCTGAGTAAACAAGTATCTGTATGGTAAATGGTTCAACTGAATTCAGACACTGGTGTCCATCAAAAGATAAATGAACATCATAAATATAAAAGTAATATTTTATTAAATACTTACCAGTAAGCATGTATACAATATCTAGCTGAGAAAAAATACTGATCTTCCCACCATTGTTGTGTTTGATCTGGCAACACCTGTAATACATATAAATATATTTAATATCCAGGATAGTATTTTACACTAATGTTTTTGTGGCTCACAGACGTATCTGTGCCCTATCTGAAAATGTGGGGCCCAATATCACTATTTTTTTTCACTAATCTGCATTGTAATTTGTAACCATCACACATTAAAATACAGTTCTGTCAATATTTAGGTAATTAATAAAAGCTAATTTATGAGTGATTTGTTTTGCATAGTAGGTCGCAGCACACATTTAAAACTTTAGGTCTACAGATCAATATGTAATTGATTATGTGTTCAACAGGTGAAAAATTAGTAGACAAACAGACTTAACTAAATAAATATTTATCTAATCCTGAATCAAAGAGGTTTAGCTATTTTAACCATAGAATTAAACACCAATCTTATATTTTTAAAATTATAGCCATAAATACCAACAAACCTTTTTATATTTTTTACGGATTTCATCCATGGTCTCACTACGAGGTTGTAAGCCTGTATTTGGTCGATACATATTGTACAATTTCTCTTTCTTCTTATTTTTACCACAGCAAACAGCTAAGACAGCAGTCTTTTTACTGTTACGTTCCTATAATAAATACATTCACATAAATGTTACACTTCTATAATAAATATAAGCATATAAATAATTTACTGTTCCGCTATAAATACAAGTAAATAAATAACAATTTACTGTTCCGTTCCTATAACAAATACAAGTAAATAAATAATTTACTGTTACGCTTCTACAATAAATACAAGTAAATAAATAATAATTTACTGTTCCCTTCCTATAACAAATACAAGTAAATAAATAATTTACTGTTACGCTCCTATAATAAATACAAACATAAGTAATGTATGAACAAATCTAAGACCAGTTTAGATAAGATGACTCACAGTAGTTATAGTACTCAATTTTTGGATATTCATTTTTACTTAAAAAAGAATATATTTTTCCAGACAAACAAAAATTTCTTTACCATATTAGCTAAATAAAAGCCTTCTTCTGTACTGTTACATTTTCTCCATAGTTCCATTGCCTGTAACCATGGCATACCTCTCTCTACCATAAACTAAAAAACATAACAATATGGATGATGTGGATTTCTTACTTATAATTGAGGTAAACCCAGATTGTTTTAATTTGCTTGAGACAAGAACAATGTTAACAAATTTTGAATAGGCTTAACAAAAAAAAATACAGTTGAATGTTTAAGCAATGAGTAACCTTTTTTATACGCCCACATTGAAATGTGGTCGTATATTGTCGTCGCCCCCGTCCGTCCGTCCAAAGTTAAAATCCGATTGACTTTAAATTTATACACAGTGTTTAAGGTCATGAGACGAAGAAGCCTATTGATTTTCAGCGATTTCCGATAATTACTGCCAGAGTTATGGCCCTTTATCACTTCAAAAAATCTTGTGGACGCTCTTGAGGCCAAAGTTAATATCCGATTGACTTTAAATTTATACATAGTGTTTAAGGTCATGAGACAAAGAAGCCTATTGATTTTCAGCGATTTCCGATAATTACTGCCAGAGTTATGGCCCTTGATCACTTCAAAAAATCTTGTGGACGCTCTAGAGGCCAAATTTAATATCTGATTGACTTTAAATTTATACACTGTGTTTAAGGTCATGAGACGAAGAAGCCTATTGATTTTCAGTGATTTCCGATAATTACTACCAGAGTTATGGTACTTGATCACTTCAAAAAACCTTGTGGATGCTCTAGAGGACAAAGTTAATATACAATTGACTTTAAATTTATACAGTGTTTAAGGTCTTGAGACAAACAAGTATATTGATTTTTAATGAATTTTGATAACTTTAACAGCTAAATCCATGATATTAAATGTTTCGTATAGTAAGCGTTAGCTTGGGGCAGAACTTTATAAAAACCAAACAAATTCAAATGATTTTCTGATAATTACTTCATGAGTTGTTACTCTTAATCAGATTTTAGTGTATTATAAATTTTCCATCACCGAAAGAAAGTAAAAAATATGCGACAACTCTTGTTGACTGCCCGGACGATTTAGCTGCTGTGGGCGTATGTTTCGTTGCCTGGCAACCTATCTTATAGGTTACACAAAGAACTTACTGTAGTGAGTTCTGTTTTAGCTGTATTATTAGCCTCGTTACCCAGGAATGCTTGTGTTTCAACTCTTCTAACTTTCTCTTGACCAGAACCAAGATCTATTTATATATAAACAAATAAATTAAAATAGCTAAGTCTCTAACTCAATATCACCCAAAGTCTTCAACATTGAAAACACAAATTATTTGTAAAATTTAGATCAACATTGATGCTGTAATCTTACCGGGAAAAGATGGGCTACTGATATCCAATATTTAAGACAATATGGTACGAATCGAGTACCATAATGCACTCCAGCTCCATTTGTAACAAGGGACTCGAAGAACAGGGCCAGATATATTCCACAAGTCATGTCAAACAGTGATGACATATTCTTATCTGGAGAGCATGCACAATAAATACTATTGGTGTAGACTGGTATAACTAAATGCTAGAGACTGTCATTTGATTGAGATTTATGGCATATATCGCCGAACATAACTGATTTGAAATTAGAGCAAACGGAAACAATTGAATGTAACAGTTTATATACATACATATCACATTTTATTCCTTGCGACCCATTTGTGCCAATTTCTAGGTCCCAAATATTAGCGATTTAGCTCCTTTAGCTATACATGAGTTAACAGAAATAAATGGTAGGTTATTTCATTAAGATTTTAATATACTTAATCAAAGTTTTGAGCCAAGGTTATAAATATTACTATACATCGAAATATCTTACCAAGAATTCCCATATCCCATCTACCATTTCTCTTTGCTTCCAGAATAATAGCAGTTAATGTTTCAGTAAAATATTTAAATAAAGAATTCTGTAGTTCTACTGTCATACCCAGAATTCTATTTAAAAACTTGCTAATATTGTTATAATCTGAAAAAATAAACAAAATTTATAGGTTACAGGTCATTGGTATACATCAATTGATTATATCTCTTAAATCATATCTGTGTTTCTAAATTACCATTTTACAATATGTAATGTAACATGTACATCATTATCACAATCCACTAAATACTTTAACATTTTTATCATTCCTATTCTGGCTATCAGAAACATCTCACAGCTACTCAACTGGTTGAATGATTAGTGGCTATTAAATACCAAATGATTGAAGAATCACTTAAAACCAATCGAATATTATAATCTACATTATGTCAAAACATTTTTAGATCTATATGATTCTTGTAATATTTAGTTATAAACTATGTAACAGCACTGTCAAATCCATAATAATACTTATACAGGACAAAATTCTATGGAATACAATTCCTGTGTATTACTGTGTGTCCTGTGTATTACTGCGTGTCCTGTGTATTACTAAATGTCCTAAGTTCAATAAGAAAATGCCACTGAAACTGATCAAGCAACTTACCTTTCTCTAAATTAACATAACCTGACCTTTCATCTATTGTCATCATTCCTACACCTATTAAACCAGTCTTAACATCTGTAATATAAAATACATGTTCATCAATTGATACAATACTCGGTTGGCACAGATGTTAGTAGATTTATAACAATATCAAACACAGAGAAATTTCCCTCAGCTGTGGTCATTGGTTAAAATGTTTTCTTATTCAGTTGACATACATTTTGTTTACCCTCAATATTTGTGGGATTGAGAGAATTTGAAACTGGAATGTTCAATCAAGTACACCAAAGTTAAATCTATTCATGCTTTTGAGTATCATTAGCATAATGAAGGGTCTATAATATATATATATACACATAAATAATTAAATAAGAAATACAGACAAAATAACATCATAATCTGGTGCCGGTATAAAATTTACCTGCAAAAAAATTTCCACTGTAATCTTTAGGAGGAGGCACTAGAGGGTTTTCACCATTTAAATTTAAAACGGATTTCATCACAGCATCTAAAGCAGCTCTACCATACTGTAATAAAGAATAATACAGATGTTTTGATTTTTAATTAAAGAAATGGGGTCTTTTTAAAGTCATTCAATTCAGCATCGATTTTATTTCAATATTTGTAGTGAGAATGCATAGAAAAATTCGACTGTATCTTCATCTATCTGTTAACAATAATATTCCAACTTCCTAAATAAACGTACAGGACTTTTTTAGTATCTTAATTTTGATAAACAGATTTAGCTAATATAAATTTACGTCTACATCTTATGTAATTAGTATTTGATGAAACCAGGTTTCAAATTCTTCATAATACATCTCATCTAATTATCATTTTGTCGAAATTAAAAAGCTAATAATTTATGTGACTTACTTTATTATCTATATTAAAACGACTTAAATCTCTGGATTCTGTAGCTCTTCTATCACCATGTGTTAAGGCACCCTACAAGTAAATGAATCATCAGCATAAAAGAAAATATGAAACAAATGACGAATAGAAATATCATCCACTTTGAAGCAAAACCAATCTTTATTTAATATATAAATTAATCTTTTAAAGCAAAAGCAAAAATTTATCTTACCAAGCTTTCTAAACGTTTAGCCACAGTAGCAGCAAATCTTCGTTCTCCAGCTAACTCGGAAATAAGGAATATATATTCTGGAGCATGGACTTGATTAGAACGGTGAGTACGACCTAAAAATTATGTTCAAATTATGGAATTTAAAACCTAGGCAAAACATTATAGAATACATAACAATCCTTCCTCATTAAATAGACTTCATACATAATATTGAAAAGCCCTGGTGCAGAAAAATCGGATGTTAAACTCTATTTCATTTCATTGAAAAACCGCACTTGAGCCATCTGGGAATAACTTTCTTCAAGAAAGATAAATCAAAGCACATAAATCAGTCAAAAAATTAACTACAATCAGTAGTCAAAAAATAAACTACAATTGATAGTCAAAATATAAAATACAATTGGAAGAATTTCTTACCAAACTGTTGTATAGCTCTATCAGCACTCCATGGTAATTCTAATGTTATATGAACTCTTCTCTTTTGATTAATAGCACGTTTATCAGCTTGTAGAGATATACCTGAACTAGCAGCTTCTGATATAATAGCTATATCCTATAAAATAATTATTATATTAATTAAATCCCCATTCACATGCATCATCCCAGCATCAAGCTTTCTAATGGAATCTGATAACCTCTTTGGCACTGTTAACTTTAACACCATAAGTGTAGGATGTTAACAGGACGCTGGGCAGAGGTACCAACTGTGAATTCAAAGAGTAAAAGTTTGTCAACTAATTAACAGTATTTTCATTTATCTATAGTCATAAAAACATGTCAAAATGATTGGAGGAAATACAAAATATATTCCAGCTTAGAAATGTTTCATCATCAATTCTTCAGATCATAGTCATGAACAATGAAAAGTCTGGTATACCTTTTCTCCATCCATAAAGCGTTGTTTTTCTGTGAGATTTAATATTTCTAAAGGCACATCTGTTTCACTTCGAGATTCATAACTAATACTACCATCATCATTAGATACTACTCTACCTTTTCTACCAGTCATCTGTAAATATAAACACAGGATTTTATATGTAAAATACATATTCAATAAAGGTATTGAGTCATGGTGAAGATTGTGAGAATAACAACTTAGATCCATAAAGAAGTATCACACATGTATATTAGTGAATATAATAGTAAAAAATATCTGAACCTCATTCCTTATGTGTGGCTAGCAACAATAATATTAACTTCACACTATTTATGACTTTATAAATATCCAAGCTAAAACGGATAGTCACATTTATCAGTTCACACATTAATTACTTAATCCTGTAAGCCATTTCGATGATATTTCTGCACGCTTCAGTATTTTAGTAAAAGACATTTGATCTGCAAATTAAAAGTTACTTGCATCAATGTACAAGTACAGAAATCTGGGATTTAAAATAATGGACAGATAATACAAGTGAATATTAAATATGAACCACTAGTAATATTAATATATTAACCTCAGCTACTGCTTCTGTACCACCTAGATCATCTATGAGTTGATCCAGTGTATTAGGTGGTAAATGACTTCCTATTTCTTCCATTCTACGTAATAAATCACTTTTCATTGTCATAGCTTGTTCCCATACACTTGTATTACCTGCAAACAAACAAAACAAATGAGCAGAACTATAAATTTTCAATCAATACAATTTTCAATGAAAGGTAAGGACACCATCCCTCCTGATAAAAGACGTTTTCTATTTTCTGTCAAAGTTCTCCTTTGTTTTTCACAGAAGTTACTCCAAAGAAGACTTTTTATATGGCCGTTCTTTTTATATTTCTAACAGTTTCTCTTAATATAAGTGTCAAATAACCTTCAATGTCTGAACAATTTAGCTGATCAAAAGAATGTGTTGATAAATTTGACTTACCATTGCTAAGATTAAGATTATTACTTGGAAAAATATCATTATTTTTATTAAGCAAACCAGCTTTAGCTAGAGCTTTGTCAAATAATGAATCTTCATCTTCTTCTTCTTCTTCCTTCTTTTTAGATTTCTTCTTCTTAACTTTCACTTTCTTTTTAGGTGATTTCTCCTTCTTCTTATTCTGAGATTTCTTTAACCAAGGATCTGAATGAAAATGTCTTATCTTATCAGTATTTATGGTTATATTTGGAACAACCTCAAAAATTCTAATATATTTTTAAGGTAATACAACTGAAAGTCAATAGGCTTTATTCTCTCTTGATGACAATGACCTTCACCTTGATCACGTTCACAAGGTTTTCAGCAAGAGGAGGATAACTAAGTCAAGGAATGTTTTGGAATGCTGAATATCGATAGGGTTTGCCTTGTCATGACCACAATGCTTCACACCAAATTGTGAATGAATCTGTTAAAAACTCTGGCCTCTATCGCGTTCACAATGTTATCAGAAGAGGGGGGGATAAACGCTAAAAGTAAAATTGGTTTGACCTCTCATGACCACAATGATATAACTCTGGTACAGAAGGTTGCTGAATGCTGAATATTTATAAGGGTTTGTTATCTTTCAACCACAATGCATCACACCAAATTTGAAAAGATTAGTCACAACCACAGCCTCTATCACGTTCACTAGTTAGTTGTAGATGGATGGACGGACAAGGTGACAAGTATATACTCCCAAACTACATGTAATCAATGCTTTTGTACTAAAAAAAGTAAACTTACCATCATCACTATCTGAACCATTACCAAATGGATTAAAGTTATCACTAATTCCATCTGATTCCTCCGATGATGATTCACTTATATTCAGTTCTGTATCATCTGATGAATCTTCCGATGAAGTATCACCTGAATCACTATCCTCCCCCTTCATCCGTTTAGCCTCATTACCACCATTCATATCTATAATAATAAATATTAATAATATTATTACAAAACATGTCTATAGCAATATCTTCACAGAAGTGATTAGAATCAGATGCGCTTTACATAAAAGTAACTGTTAACTGAATGTGAAAATCATATAATAAACAAATTACTTTTAAAAAGATGAATGATGATACAAAGCATATAAAATATAACAAAGTAAGCAGTAAAATGAATATCAATTGATAGATGGATTTTGAATTATTTTGTGCATAAATTAAAGATAAAAGAAAGACTAATATCAGGGCTTGCCACAAGATGCGATTGATCGCTCGCGCGCACGCAAAACTCACACAGGCTTGTTTTTACGCGAGTAGAAAGTTGCTCGCACACATCGTTCAAAGGATAGTTGTTGCCATACTAGTTGTTTTTTTGGTCAATATTTATCGTTTTTACAAATCAATCTATTTTTGGCTAAACTACGACGCGTTAATTATTACTTGTTGATTAAAAAATCAACCAACTTATACTTATACAGTCATACCATGTGGTTCATAATCTGAGTAATTAGCACATTTAATGGTAATTTTGATAATACGGTAAAAAACCACAACAAGCATTCTGATTATTCAGAAGATGAATAAAGGCTAAACTGAATGATCCGAGACTTCTGCTGTGTGAATACATTTCTAAACGTTAAATAACATGATGTGACACTACTTATACAAAAACCTTAATTTAATACAAAAACATCTAAATGGACTGATTGATTCGAGCTTGAAGTTTACACACACCTTAATAATTCAATAACAAACGAATACAAATGAACCTGAAATATGCACAGTTTGTTTGTGTTCATACTGTTAGCTTTTTGCCTAACATTAAAACAACGTCATCTTACCCTTTTTTCTCTTGTTATTGTTTCTATTAAATATACTCTCTTCATTATTTCTAACTAAATTACCAATACCAAACATATCAAATGTTTTTCTTCTGTCTGGTGCTGGAAAATGTTTCTCTACTAAAGTTTGAAAGACACCTCTGTAAAATAAAATGTAAATATCATTAAAAATCTGTTTTAAAAAACATCTTGAAACATTAAAATTTGAATAACACGGTTTTATCTTATAATTTTTTTTCTCATTTTAGTGTGGTGCTTACTATTAACCTCTTTATTTCTCACGTATACAATAAGGTTTAAACTTACTTGGCAGTTGATACAAAATCAGAGAGTTCTCCCCCTTGTTCTTCTAATTGTTCTAAGGTACGAGCTTCTCCTGTTGACTGGAGACCTATAACTACACACTGTAATACAGAATGAATGGAAAATATGACAAAAAGTTAAATACGCTGGCTTTTTTAAGTTACCAGTTTAAACCATGAGGTCAGCGCAACAAGCTTAAATGTGTTAACAAATAAAAGTCCGATTTAAATTAGATCTACGCAATAACTCAGCTGAGCCAGACAATTAGCTACTTAAATAAAGAAAAGAACGAAAAAATGGCTGCCTACATTCCAAATTTTGAAACCATTATTCCTGGACATATTGTGTTTCAAAATATTATTTTAATTAAGATGGTTAAAAAAAAAGAGTAATACCTTTCCATTTTTCACAGCTTCTCTAGAAACATGTACACAATAATTAACTTTAGCTGATATACATAAATACTTAAAGAATCTTTGATGAGCAGACCAGAATTGACCCCACATGGATTTTCGTAATCTGTGTTCAGCATCAATTAGATCAGCTGCCTTTTGAAACTTATCTCGAGCTTCAACCCACTGAAATGATATTTAAATAAATTACACCTTTCATTAGGAAATAACGTGTCGCAAATCATCCAACTTTTACAGAACAAAATAAATAGATTTTTGATATGTCCTATCAGAAAGACTTTCAAATTTATTATGCATCTGTTATCAATAAAATCTAAATATGCCAGCAGTTATTAATAAAATCTAAATATGCCAGCATTTATTTGAGAGGCCACCACTGGAATTATTAGTCAGAAACTTCCTTAATATGTTTGAGTGTTTCAATAGTTTGTAAAGGACTCAAAATCGTTGATTTCTTTTTACGGACTGGAAAGGAAATGGAAGATTTAAACAAAAGGACAATCATACCAGATCAACAGCTTCATTATAGGATTTCTTAAAGTCTCTTTCTAATGGCACTTCTTCTATTTTAAATGAGACACCCTTGAAACTCAGCTGACGAGCTATATACATTCCTCTTAACTTCATATCCATAGCAACTAACTCCATGGCACCTACACCTCTGTTTACAGCATATAAAAAATATCAATGAAATACAACCAGGAATTTCTTCAATTCATAGAAATTATCAAAACTAATGACTTTATGAACTGTAATTACATTAAGGACTTGATGCGTCATTCACATTTTCACTAAAATATCAAATTTCTCAAGGCTTAATAGAAACTAAATATGAACTCGGATTGATTTTACACCATTAACTAAGAAAAGAAAATCAAAATGCAATGTACCAACACTAGATAATCTCCCGGCTTGGATTCAATCTAGGCCCATCAGGGTTCTCCACTACCAATAAAAGATGGCGACATCTTGTTACACTCGAGCAGCATAGACTAGATTGATGGAATTTCAATTGATCATAAATTTTGTAAATACTGAACGGAACTAAATTGTATTGTAGTTTGCAAGGGATTCCTATAGCTCTAAATGAGATATCAAGTCTAAGTTTTACAAATACCAATATCGTACAAAAAATAATGACATATAGGAAGTACTCTCATTACATTACGTTTTATAAATATCATTATCATACAAAAGTCATTCACTTATAGAAATGTAAAGAGCAATATAATATATTCTCTTAAAATGTATAAAAGACAGTGTACTGACCTTTTTTCAACAGCTTGAATAAAGTCATTAAATTCTCTAAAAGGTGTTCCAGGACCCCATAAACCAAGACGTGTCATATAAGCCATGTTTTTTGGTTCGGAGGCACCAGTGGCACTAGCATAAACAACACGAGCTCCAGGTAAATGATTCTGTAACTCTAAAACAGTTTTACCAGTTTTTGTTGGTTTACTAGATCCTACTGGACATAAATTCTTAGCTTTATGACACTCATCAAACACAATCTAGTTACATGGTTAAGTAATACTATAAATAAGATAATCATATTTAATTCATGATGCTTCAGAAAGAACAATCTCATGACACTTTTGTGGTTACAGTTAGATTTAAGATGTTTTCTTTCTAATGATATCAAACAATGGATTATACCAACCTATCTTACTTTAGTTAATCAAGTAGGGTTTTGTCTTGTCACTACAATATTTCGATCAAATTGAGAAGACCATAATGGTCAATTCCATTTTGATGGTTAAGTGTGCAATGCAAGTAACATTCTGCTCAGACAGATGCGCTCCAGTCAACTTTTCCTCAAATTCAAATGGGGCCTTGGTTTTCTGTCTTATCTGAACTACTAAGCACACTTTCCTTGTCAGTAACAAGGGATAAGTGGATTTGAAAAATCCTGCAAGTTCTTCATGGCCAATGCTGGATTTCACATCCAGAAATTGCTTGTCGAGAGGACAGTACTACTTTAGTTAAAGTCACATATTAACTTGTAAAATCTAATGGTTTTTTCCTGGGTATTGGAAGGAGGCTTGTGGATCATCAGGTTTGTCACTTACAAGCATGACATTGAAAACCGTGACAATGAGTAGGGTTGCCTGCATTACATCGCAGGTTTTCTCAGGCTTCCTTAAACTGCTGAAGACCCCTGCATGCAAGTTAATTATTGAAATAATGACTTTATTTGTGTTCACTTTCGGTTTTAATAACCTCCTAAAACAATAATAATGAATTTAATCAGCAAACTTCTGACAGCTTCTGATTTTTTAAATATTATTTTCTCATGTTTTAAAAGGATACCAAACCATCAAAATCTTTTCCACACCATTTTAACAACTGTTTAAGTCTTGTTCTGTATTTACCACCTGACTGACTTTCACCAATCAGTGATGAATAAGTTGTAAATATCACACCTTTTTTAATGCTGCCATTTTCTTTACCCGATATTTTGGCATATCGCAACTGTGAAAAGATAAATGGAAACAATGATTTATCATTATCTTGATTCAAAAACATATGCAGGATTAAAGAATACTGCCCCTGATAAATGGCTACATCAAGCTCAGGATAGCATTTAAAACGTTTACCAGCCCACCCAAATATTACCTGAATAAAATTTTAACAATTACAATATTTCATTTCATATTTAATGTCCTATTCCATATCCTTATATGGGAGCCACGCTGACTCTGTGAGTAAAACATTGGCTCATTGACCTGGTGGTCCTGTGTTCGATCCTAATGTTGACCGAAATGTTCATGGGGGATTTTCCCTTGTCCGTGGTTCAGCACAGACGACCCGGCAAGGGACAACATATAATTGTTCTGATAGGACAAAAAACGGGGTCCCGTGTACACATTGGCATGCACATAAAAGAACCCTTGACAGTTGGAATTAGCACACTGTATGGCATATGCCTGTGTTCTATTAGCTCAGTCGATGCAGAACAGTAGGACATTAAACGCTATTTCATTTCATTTCCATTCTCCTTGAAGCTGGTGTTCAAATGACTAATCAGATTGTATTGATATAGAGGGCTAGTGTAATTAAGAGGAAGAAATGACTCTGAAACTTACCTTGTTTAAGGAATAGACTTCTATTTTACCCGCTCCGATATCTCTTAAATCTCTCTCGGCATCTACTTTTAAATCATTAGACACACTCAACCAAATAGCTCTCTTTCTTCCTTGTAAATAGTTCTCAAATATAGTTCCTGCTATAGTTCTGCCTTTCCCCACACCTGCACCATCACCTAAAATAAAACATTGAATTATTTTAATAGAACAAACCTAATTTCAGAACAATAGTATTCTATCAACTGTTGTTCATTTTGTAAACGCTGACAATAAATTTCCAAATCATTGAAAAATAAAATTTCAGAAAATGTGCTTAATTTTCTAAAACATAAAACAAAGAATCATTTGCTAACAAGATGAACCACTTTTCAAACCACAAAGGTTAACACAACTGAGGAGTAGGAAATTTCAAAATAAATGTGCACAGATTAATATTATTTGCAGAGAAAATTTCTTGATTTGGATAAAAAGTAAAAAGAAACTTTGAAGAATATTAACCATACCTATAAGAAAACCAGCTCTTTCACCACTAGGTAAGATGGTATTATGTCGTTGTGAAGCATAAGTTATTGATTCTAACTGTAAGGCTGATAATTGACACATGTCAATAGTAGATTCGGGTATAATTATTTTATATCGCACATCAACAGGTTCAACACTAGATAGAGAACTTGTTTCTACAACAGGATCAGGATGTTTCTCTCCTATTTTTACTGAAAAAAGCAAAGCAATTAAGTTCAATGGGTTGGGTGGTGAGGGAAACTACCGGTCATATAATATAGATATCATAAAACCTTTAATTGGGTTGGATTTCAGCATGTTCATTTCTTAATCTGTCAATATAGATCTCATTTGTTGTTTATTTTCTAACCAAGATGTTGGGAACGATGATAGTAATTCCACTGATAAACAAAACCAAAGACAATCTTTTAACAGTCACAGTAATATTGTTGTCATGTTGGCCATATACATACATGTATTAAATTCATAATTTATATTATAATAGATGCATCTTCAGAGATACGTAAATTAATGCTATACATTACACATACAGCTCAATATTACTATTGCCAATATCTACATGTACCCTCACAAATATTTAGTTGGACTTACAGTATAGTAGACTTTTATACAGGTGATTCAATACTAAACTATGCAAATAAGTCAACTCCAAATACATATTAAGAGAATACAAATTTAATCTTTTTTACATTATAGTTTACCCACTTGATAATATGTATGATAATATATGAAAAGGAAGTATTTAATCATTTATCTGTTGGGAGTTGGAAAATCTTTATATATGTATGTATGTATGTATGTATGTATGTATGTATGTATGTATGTATGTATAAAAAGGAAGTACTTGATCATGTATCATTCATCATGAAAGGTCAATCATATATGAATGAGGTAAGCCTCATTGGAATTTGGACCTAGTCATTGTAATAATACAGTCAACATTTAAATAGCCATTACAGTACAATGTACTACATTTAAAATCAAAATATCGAAAAAGAAAAGCTATTTATGTGTGTTACTAGATTAGTTTAAGTAAAAGAATAATAAAAGAATATCTTGTCCAATATCTTTGGCTGAATCAATGTGAAAATAATGACATTGATTTCCTGTGAAATATACTATTCAAAAAAAGTAGGGGATATTTGATTTTGGGGGCATAATACTAAAATATGCAAATGACTACGAAAAAAGTCACTATAGAACCTAACAGAAGAAACATTTCCAGTTACATGTGACGCCCAAACGCACCAATAGCTACCGCATGGAATGCAGGTGATGCTTGGGATCATCATGGGGGTCCAACCCAAGATTTGCACGACTCTGACTTTGAATGTTACAGTCATTGTGGCATTGAATTCCAGGGTGGAAACATCAGTTTAATTGTTTTAGTGACCAGAAAACAAATTTTGATATGCGTCGGCTTACCCAAAATGAAAGGTTACGTGCCCTTGGCATGCTACAGATCGGCACAACACAGGCGGTTGTGGCGCGGACGATGAATGTTTCTCAGTCTGTCATAAGCAGGCTATGATCAATACTTACATTTACTGGGCATGTATTCAAAATATGTTTCAGCATGACCTAATTCCTGAGCTTCTTCCTCTGCTTCCTCTTCCTCAAAAGGACTTGGTGCTCTTTCTATTCTTTGTACCTTTAATGAAACAAGTTTAAACTGATTTAAAATAAAAATTTCCAATTTACCATAACACCCCATGGCCAGTATCTCGAATTTTAGGGAATTTGACATCAATTATCTTTGAATCATCATAATGTCAGCAAATTAGAGAAAACATTTTCCCACATGCCTCAGAAGTACATATTATATGGATGGGATGTACATAAACATAAAATTATATGAGAATAATGGATTGAGAATATAATTATAATCAATTTGTTTAAATGCCTTGTCTATGACAAAAGTGATTCAATGAAATTACAAAATACAGGAGTTGGCGGGAGTCAAAAGGTCTAATGCATGCACTTTAGATCATAGGCATGTCATTAAATCAATTGGTGAGATTTCGATCCTACACTATACATGACAAGGAATAGGGTATCCTGCCTAACTTTGTGGGTTTTCTACCGTTTCTCTGGTTTCCTTTCACTGCTAAAGGTTCCTATTTGTTTTAAAGTGAATTATAGAAATAAATTTTATACCAAGTGTTAGTCCCAAAATGACCTAGTTTTTTTTGAGTAGCAATTCAACCCATTTCTCTCTCTCTTTCACATAAAATAACTAGATGACCCACTTTCCTTTAATTAGCATAAACATCTTTGCACAGTGAGCTTATTAACCGATTGAATACAACAAAGCTATTTTTACCTGTATTCCAACTGGCGACACTTTCACATTTTCATTTGACCAGAGACGTGATAAATCTTTATTTGTTATATTAGTCTTTATATTGTTACCATTTAATCCAGATATTCCAGATCCAAATTGAGACACAATTGTTGGAATGTTTGAGATTGGTGAATTAGTATTCCTTGCTTGATCCAAGGCAGAATTTGTCATAGAACTAGTGATAACTTTTCCACCGGATAAATTTGTTTGATTGACAACATGAATAGGGGAGCTAGTTCGTAACACTTGTCTATTGTTAATTAATGATCCCACAGTTTTACCACTACTAGCAACGATTATTTTGGGACTGGATGTTGAAGTTTGAGGAGTTAAGGTAATTTTCTGTCCTGGACCTACATTTCCGGATGGTGCTACTCTAGTAATAGTGATAACGCGGGGTTGTGTTGATGTGCCACCATGTGAGATTCGTGTTACTATAGGTGACTGTCCTGATGTACCGGTATTTAATAAGGAACTACTTGGAATACGGATGATTTTAGGACCAGGTTTTGATGTTGGAGTAACTGGACTGTTGACATGACTGATAGACTGTGAATATCTGGTATTCAGCTGAAAATTAAACAATAAAACTATTAATATCATCATAAATAAGCTTTGGTCACTATATGGAAATATCACATTGAATTCTAGTCAATAATATAATTTGAATACAATCTAATTTGAACATGGAACTATGTAACAGTAAACTGTTTCAATGGCATTTAGTAATTGAACTTGAGTACAGGTCACAATTCTATGGAAAGCAGTAATTGTATTCCATAGAATTGTGACCTGTATATGTAACAGTACTTATAGAAAAATCAAAAGGTCTAATGCCTCTTTAATTCATTGTTTAAATATTTTTATCTCACACTAGACACATGACCTATACACCCACTAGTAGTAGCAAATTAAAAATCGTTTGAACAAATCTATTGTGATTTCTTTATTTATCTTTATCCAAAATTTTCAAAATACTTGATTGGGTTGTTTGTTCTTTATGACCAATACCACCAAGTTTAAAAACATTCCAATTGAGAAAGATCAAAGATGCCTTGAATAGTTTTAAAGTTAAAATATCATGTGCTGAAATATAATTTGGATTTTGAAAAATTCTGATATAAAAACTTTGAAAATCGATAGGATTATTTCCTTAATGAACAATTTCTCTTTGTCCTGTATCCCGTTCACAAGATTTTTTATATTCTGAGTGTACATATTGAGATAATTTAGAAATTTGCAATACAAAAATTTCCGAATTTCAATAGGGTTATTCTCTACTATACATACAATGTGAAAAAAAATTCAACAAGAGCTCTTGATAAAATTTTGTTCATTAGAGACGGACAGTACAGGTATAAGACAATATATGATCATATTAATTGTTAAGAGTGTATAAAGTACAAATTACCAGACTGGATGTTTCTTGTGGTTTGAGTCTAGGAAATGCTTGTAATGGATTAGGTGAACCAGATATTTGGATGGTTTTATATTGTGATGACTGCGATAACTGACGTAAAGACTGACTAAATAAATCTGCTTGGTTTACTTCAGTATCTGTGTGTCCTCCATTTACTACGGAGGAATCTTCAAATGCCTGAAGAAATAATGAACAATATCTATGTGTAGTTAGATAAATTTTTAAAGGGCTTGTTGACCAATCATGCAAACAAGATCACATTTCCCATACATTACTATTTAAAGCAAATTCTATGTAACATTATTCAAATAGGGCATATCTTTATTAGACCAAAAGTAGTACCATATATAATTTTCTGTCAAGTCATCCTTGATAAGTACCATTAATATTAACATACATGTATCCAGATTCATTTTCTAAGCCATCGACTGTGAACCTCAAAACACATAGTTACTATATATTGTTATTCCATGCGCGATCATCTACTCCGTTCATACATTGATTATTAAATATTAAAGTATACTTACTGAATTTGGAAGACTGTTGTAGCCACTTGACGGCTGAGAATGTGATGAAAGATCAAGACTAAAATCTTCAAGGTCATTTCCAGTGATACCAGAAACATCTAATGCTGCAGATAATAAATCAAAATCTGAATTCTGAAAATAGACAGCAAGTAAATATAATGCAGTGTATATTAAAACCAATGTTATTTTCATTTTTTAAAAAAAAGTATAAACTTTTTGGGTTAGACTGTTTTTCCTCTAAAAGTAGAACGAAATATGTTATTCAATAATCTAAATAAATTGTTATGACTGACAATAAGATTTTTTCTTTGATAAGAACAATTAAATCTCTACTGTATATTGACCTATATGGTGATTACTGGCTATACTATGATATTATCAAAAGAATGAATTTACACTACTCTGCCAGAAATTAAATTTTGTAGGTCCCCATTAACCCTACTTATTGCAGCAGCCATGTGACTTAACGTTGAAACAACAACCTACATACATTCAATCCCTGGAGAACAAACTTACAAATGAAAACTTTAATTTCAAATTTCTTTCCGATTTTGACAATTCTGTGCGTAAAAGCTTTTTTTTTTAAAAAAAAAAGAAAGATATCTTGATAGAGATTACTAATGGAATATATCCATGATAGATCAACTAAATTTCTTATGGACCTCTGATAAGATATTTGTAATAGATTTCAGCCACAATGCTGTATTGAGGAACACTCATACCATTTGTCTAGATCAGTGATTCTCAACCAGTGTGCTGCGAGATCTTCCTAAGGGTGCCGCTAAATTTGGAACGGCATTATTAAGAAAAGGCAAAAAACCACATGATCCCAATTGAGTATTCACTGGTGCCTACTGATAAGTTCATAGCTGTGTTTTTCTTTATTTAGTTTGAGTCATTCTATGTGTCTATGACTAGTATCTGTCTACGGTTGTATGCCGTCCGACTTACCATGTTTTTATTTTGCAAAATTCAAATATTTTTCATATATATTTAACCAGGTGTGCTCCAAGGTGTGCCGTTGGCAAAAAAAGGTTGTGAACCACTAGTCTAGATTAAAAGTCTTCCTAAATAAACAGATAAAAAAAAGCTTATGCATGAATTAGTGACCGGTCCTAAATTCACTTTTTACAGCACATATATCAAGGATCTTCTGAAATCAAACTGAAAACTGCCACAGTTTCTATTACGGTATATTTCAGTTCTCATAAGAGGATTTGAAGTGTTTTTTTTAAAACGTATGTTATTGTTATTTATATAAACACGCGTGAATTTTGCCATCCATCAGTTGAACCACAAAAAAAAACAGGTGAATTCTCTGGTGCTGTTGTATTTTTTCCTGACCAGTGTTTAATTAGTATATCTTAATAATAAGTGCACAGGGACTGCACCACACATAATTTACACAAAAAAACAAATCTACGGACAAGACACAATACGCAGAAATCACAAACAAAAGAACATTTAAAATTAATTTTAATGGATCCGTGGGCTAGCCATAAGTATCCACTGCACTTACATTGGCGGGGATATACATAATCAAAATTAATCACCCCCGTTTGAACAAAATTCATATTAGGAAGGGCTGTCTGCCTTGCAAAGCAAATGACTGGAGTACTGAAGCCTCCCCAGTCCTGGCCGGTTCAGATGGCCCTGTTTATATTAAATCTTTACATGGGATGATCATAACCTTTTAAGTGATCATGAAGAATATTCAAAGTTCTATGTGCACATGTCGAATTTAAAAACAAATTTACTTCCGATGCAACACAATTTTGAAATCCCTACCAAAAATCACGTTTAAATTGACCTACATGTAATAGAGTTCATGGAGAAAATGAGTAAAATGACTGATTATACAAGACATGAAATGAAATGGGGTTTAACGTCCTACTGTTTTGCTATTATACAAGACAGATTATCTTTATTGTGCAATGGAATTTCATCAACAGGGGCCAACACCAGTCCGGAGAAAATTTGTTCATAAATGTTTATAGCTCTGGTTTGTTTGTGTGCATGCCAACATTTACATGCTAACATCCCATCTGAATGACTAGATGTTCCTTGCCGGAACAAGAAGAAACCTGGTTTCAAAATACTGTGGAACTTTCACAGCCAACCCGGTCAGTGAACCCTAGATGGTTAGAGAACCAGTGCCTCTGATTTTACAAGAGATAGCATTTTTATTTGTGGCTATATTTCACTGTTACTTAATATTTGGCCTTCAATATATATTTTGGAAACTATTTTATCAAATGGTTAACAATAACCCTGGCCCTGGTCTTGTTTGTGCCCTGCACATAATTTTAAATTTAGATTTGTGTCTTTTCAACTTGATCTTATTTGTATCAGATTTTTGAAAAGGTGTCTCAATTTCTATGCTGATTCAATATATTACATCTAATTTAATTAACAGTATTGTTATTGTTACAGTAAATTTAATTTGTTTTTAATTTCTATAAATATTAGTTAAGTTTAATAATTGTAATTCTCAATTCTGGTCTTTTTTTTTTAATGTTTATCTTCACTTTCTAATCTAACAAGAAAATCATATGGGAATCATTTAATTTAATTTTAATACACAGATTGGATTATCATTCTATATTTTGTCAATTATAAAATAAAACTTTTTATTTCACATAAGACAGTAAGTGGAGCTATTCAATCAGTCATGATCATTCTACTCTTTATTACGAATGGATTTGTAATAACCACAGTGTTCACAGTCATCACCGCAAGTCTTGTTTCGCAGTTATAAGGCTTTACTTCCTTACATAAAAAGTTGAGATATTTATCTTATATTGAGAATTAGCCCTAATTTCAGTACGTATATATTTTCAATGGGCATTGATTGTCAAAAGTCCACTTAAATATTTCAACTACAAAGCTTACATTGGCTTCAGTTTCCATAATTTGTGAGAACGTTTTCACTCCCAACACACCCAAGAAAACTCAGCCATTGCTTAATTACCCAGAGTTCCTTCAGGAAGAAGCGGAAATGTGAAATAAATTTATTAGAATAAATAACGGCTAAAATTGATGACGCTGTAAAATGTTGAAGATCTAAAAATAAAATCAAGTATATGTTAAAATATATTCATCAATTAATGCTTATTTAAAAGATATTCAAGATCTCAATCCAGCGAGATTTAAATTGACCAATCAAACGAGACCATCTATTTATAAACACAATCAAAATTCACGATAACCGTTCGGATCAGCAAAAGATGGTGTAAGTTTATTTACATGGTGAATGCTTCAAATTTTACAATATGGCTCATTGAATATAAATTTGGTCAGCTCACTCGAGCACGCAATGGCCATATATTATATGCTTAGTCCTATTTGATAAAACCCTTGCCTTTAGCATGATAAAAAAAGACATAAAGCTGCCCAGTCAACTTTAACTTACCAAAGTTAGGCCTATTTGAATTCCTTTCTTTTCTTTTTAATCTTTTGAAAACTGCATTGATCATGACTTTATCCCAATGGTCAAATGGGAATATCCTTTTCTTGTCTTGTCTTGGTCTAGTATAAAGTAACTAAGCGTAATACTTCTTCTGACTTTTTTGTCACATGATAGGCTATCGATTTCCTTTTGTGAATCAAATCAACATTGTTACTGTACAGTAGGCCTATTAAATAATTATAAAATTAATCAGAATAGACCGGTGATAATTATTAGCATGCTCAGATTTTTAATTTTTTGCTTCATAAATTATGTCTATAGTTATAGACCTACAACAAGTAGACTACATGTATGTCGTATGGGTCATTATCAGAAAAAGTGGCAAGTAACGGAAAAGACACATTCATTTTTTTTATGAGGCCATTTATGTGATTTTTTGTCATAAATCAGAAGTAGAAGGTGTTCTTTCGTTCAAAATCATGTTAGCAAATGCATGATCAGCATTATTGAGTTATTTATAACCCTTTGAAAAAAAATATCTCCGTCTTTACCGTTACCAATGGTAACGGTGAAGACATTTTTTCATTATGTCAGAACTAAGGCGTCACAGGCCTTCTATCTCTGCAGACTGCAATGTGAATCATTCCTGTAACATGTCAAGAGCTCAAGAGCTCCAAAGATCAATAATTCATGTATTCCGAGTTATCTATAACCCTTCAAAAAAAATGTCTTTACTGTTACCATCGTTACCGATGATAACGGTAAAGACTCATTTTTCAATATGTAAGAACTGCCGACCGGATTTTCTCGTGCGAGTTGTCCAAGGTGGCATGATTGATGTCTCAAATCCAGGAAATGATCGCAATCTTAAATAATTTTGACTAGGTATCTTGCTTTGTAATATGTTATATTATTTAAACTTCAAATTACATAATGATAATGTACAAGACATTTAATTAAACCAATTAATAATCTCTATTTAGATTTATGCTTCATCCTCTAAATTCGGCCGGATTACGGAGCATGCAGCATGGTGGCGTAAAAGGCTTCACTGTAGCCTCATTTGCAGAGTAATGTATTCATTCTCGAATGTCAGTAATCCGTCCGAGTTTACGTCTTTAATAAACTTCGAAATATATTCCAGTGACGCACAAAAATTTAAATAAATGAATTAACAGCAACCAATCCAATTCAATTCACATTTTTAAAATATTAATAAACTTCAAAAATATATTCCAATGGTGTACAGAAATTTGATTAAATGAAATAACATCAAACACATTTTTGAAATACGATATCTCCTCAACCAGACATCACACGACAATGCCGATCACAGATTTGGAGCATGGAATAGCGTCTTAATTAGTAGTATAGGATGTAATTCAGCATCGAGAATCGTGATGATTTGTGTGTGACAATCAGATTGTCTCAACTGATAAAAAAACCTTTCAATCAGTCAAACCCCAAAGTTCAAAGGGGCAAGAAATTTTGTTTAGTTATTCTATTTTATGCCCCTAATTCTAATATTTTTTTAAGTCAATAAAATGGTGAGGTTTTCGCTGTTTGGGTAGGAGGTCATCTCCCCGGAAACATTCAATATTTTTCTAGGCCTCAGCCAATATGCCTCACCAGAGCTGACCACACAGTCCAACTTGTAAGTGGACAAGTCTTTACCGTTCCATCAAATGTCTTTACCGTTACCGAAAAAAGTAACGGTAAAGACATTGAGTGGTAACGGTAAAGACACATTTTGCTTGGAAAAATGAATAAGAACAACATATTCTCATCTTTTTCTTGCTTATTTTGAAGAATACCAGTTATCTTATCTAATGTATTATTATTTAAAATATTCCCCCGTTCTTTGCCTCATTATTTCAGGTAACGGTAAAGACAAACAATTTCCCTGACATGTGAAAATTATGATTCTTTCCCTCCTTGGTAAACTTTTATGACCTTCAGGAATCCAACATGGCTGAGAAAGACCTTTACCTTGAGGTTAAAAATAGCCTTGTTGAATAAAGTTAAGATATTTGTGAAATAAAGACATTTTGAAACAGAAAATCAGGACATGCATTGAGGCTCTCCTCATAGCTACATTGAAACCCCTAGGAACCCGGGACTTTGAATGGAAATAGACCAATATCATATGAATTGATATGTATGGGGATTAACATTCACAGTCTCCTCACATCTAGAAAAAATGTACATAAGTTTTGGAATCCAAAGTTGGACATGGTAACGGTAAGGACATTTCACACGTATATTAGATCTCGAAAGGTCTATTTTTGGAGTAAATATGGTTGAATAATTTTTTTCTGTTAGATAAAATGTTGTTCCAACACATTAATAAATAAAATTTATGATAATCAAGAAACTTTTAGGTGAAAAAATTGAAGACATTTTTTTCACTCAATTTGCCACTTTTTCTGAGAATGACCCGTATGCGTTGTATCAAGTTCAAATCAAGTATGACAAAATGACGCCACCTATTAGATTGCACATAGGCCTACATACATGTGCGTCCGCTGCATCATTTGTTCCTTCTTAATATTCTTATAATTCTTAGTAGAGGGGTTGGATGGCTGAATGATTAGCACTTAACTCGAGTTGTACTGACAAGGAGTAGGGTTGCCTGTCCAACCTCATGGGTTTTCTCCAGGTCCTCTAGTTTCCCCCCACTGCTAAAGACCCCTACGCGCAAGCAAATTATTGAAATAAAATTGAACCATGTGTTAGTCCCGAAATGACCCAGTTTGTGTCGAGTGGATGCTAATCTCTCTCTAATCTCTCCCATGTATTTGCTGATTGTTTATACATACAACATTTTGCAATGTTCAACAATCAAATTGAAACTAGTGATTAGCCTATCCTACCCTAATCCAAGGGTACCCAACCTTGGGTAGATTGACCCATGGTCCCAGTCCCAGTCAAGAAATAACTGGGGTAAATTTTATCAAAAAGCTAAATTTACTGAACTGGATGTACATTTTTATATTATGCTGTCGCCCCTGTCTGTCCGCAATTTGTTTGTGGACACTCTACATTCTACAGGTCACAATTTTGTTCTGATTTGGACAAAACTGGAATAGGTCTACATGTATCTCCCAAAGATCTCGGTTCCTTTCGATAAATTACCAATCGGACCGTAACTTTATGGATTATGGCCCCTCTTTAGGGGTCACCATGTGGACGTACATGTATTATGCTGTCGCCCCTGTCCGTCCACAATTTATTTGTGGACACTCTACAGGTCACAATTTTGATCTGATTTGGACGAAACTTGAATAGGTCTATCTCCCAAAGATCTCGGTTCCTTTCGATATTGCCGATCGGACCATAACTTTAAGGATTATGACCCCTTTCTAGAGGTCACTAAAAAACGTGAAAATCGGACCGAAACTGCGTGACAAAATGGTCACTCCTTGTCCCAGTCCGGTACGCAAATAGTGTAATTTTTAAGTATGTAATTCCCAAGGTTGTCGACACTCTACAGTAGAACTTAGAAGTCACAATTTTGATCCTATTTTGATGAAACTTAAAATATCCCAAGTATCTCAGTCCCTTTCGATATTTGCACATTTCAGACCATAACTTCCTGGATTATTGGTCCTGACTATACGAAAAATCGCTTTTCTTATTTAGTTGTTCTCTATTCATCTCTTGCGAAATGTGGGCATGTCTTGCTTGGCAACCACTTGTTATGTATTTCAATTTAGAAAATATCTGAATTTGAGGGGAAAATAAGGGAAACCACATGTGCTATTATTATTGTTTTTTAAAATTAAAAATGATAACTATGTTGACAGTATTTCAGTTTTAATGTACAACTAGGCCTACTATTTGTTTTTCAGGATTAGTTGAGTAAACATGGCCACCAGAAAGAAAGACAGAGTACCAAACGGACAGCTGCCGTCATCAAAGATAACTGATTTTTATACATCTCCAGTCAAAATTAGGAATGTAGAAGAACGTACATGTATGTCTATACTATTACTACAGCATTTGTTTTTTTATGACTTAAATTTTATGGAAAACTGAAAGTCTGACCCAGAAAGTGTACAATGTTTACCACCTGTAAAGGAGCTAAGTTGCTAATACTTAGGACCTAGAAATTGACACAAATGGGTCGCAACGCATACAATAATGTAATATGAATGTATATAAATTGATTTGCATTCAATCGTTTCTGTTTTTACTGTAATTTTTAATCAGTTAGGTTCGGCGAAATACGCCAGTATTCTCAATCGAATTTCAATCTCTAGCGTCTGGTTATTCCAGTCTACGCCGATATTATTTATTGGGCTTGCTCTCCAGATAAGAATATAGCGTCACGGTTTGACATGCCTCGTTTTTAGAGTCCTTTATTACAAATAGCGCTGAAACGCATTATGGTACACGATTTGTGTACCAATTGTAAAATGATTATTGGATATCAGAAGGCCATCTTTTCTCGGTAAGATCACAACATCGATGTTGATTTAAACCGACAAATAAATCGTGTTTTCAATGTCGAAGATTTTGGATGATATTGAGTTAGAGACTTAGCTACTTTAAGCTTACATACATGTAGTAATGTGACAAAAAATTGCTCATGAATTTGATTTTTTTATTGGTTTGTTTTTAAGGTAATATTGATGTTGAAGTAAAGGAAGAGCCTGGATCAGAATTAGATGTTTCGCTTCAGTCTTCCTCTGTTATACTTACTCCAGATTCTTCTCCGTGTAAGGACAAAGAATTGACAAATAATAACACAAACAATAACAACAATTGTGAACTATTGTCATTGAAACTAGATCAGCTCTCTGGCCCCGACTCCAATGAAAAGTGTCACATAGAAAGCCTTCCAGATCTGTTTAATGACAATACAACCAGTCCCTCGTCTGCAAGTAAATCCACCATCATCGTCCCTGAATCTGGTCATTGTAAACATATACTCCAAGATGATATTAAAACAGAAAGTAGCACATCTAGTCCCATACATCCTGCCCAAACTCCATGTACCTCGCTTCCAAAGAAACGCAAAGGTCGAAAAGGCAAAGTGAAGTCTACAACAGCCACTGTCAAAAGTGAAGCACAACCAAAAGCAGGTCGTAAAAAGTAAGTAGACAAACATATTTATTTTGCAAATGGCGAAAGACTATAGAGTGCGAAGTTTTGTTGAAAATGAGGTGTGAAAATGTGGATAACTTCACAGATTCATTTTTGGCATTTGGTAAATTCTGCAGCATCAATTTAATCACAGTTAAAATCCTGTTTGCTCGTCTGTCACTTTGTGTATCAACTTATAATTTCGCCATGACTTTAGATTTTTTTAAACCCTTCACTGCCAAGTATCGATGTCAGCATCAATATTAAAAGGCATATCTGAGAAAAATCTGAAAATGCACATTTTCAAATTATTTATGTTCATTATACAATGTAGTTCCTTTAAATAATAATCTCATTATTATAACTATGTCCATAAATAAGTATGTGTTATAGTTTATGTACATGTAATTAGGTTGGTTTTGATCAAGTTAGACCATGCAGCATTGCTGAATGTAGTTGCCACAAGTTGAGTGTTTTAGGCAATTTTATCCAGTCAACAGGGCTGGCCACGAATAAATTGATGGCGAGCAGATGACTGCTCACGCAAATTTAGGTTTGGGCGAGCAAGGCGAGCAATAAAAATTGCTCACGCAAAATGTTGTTTGCGTGAGCACACATTTTGTAACATTGTTTCAATTTAAAATCATACGAAAATTGCTATTCCTGGCACAAAGTTTGCAGTAAACATGTGTGACCATCCCTTTCTGTTTTTGACAGTCATACGTACTCTTCTTTATTAAAACCAATTTCCGTATGGATTTCTTCACCCCATGAAATAAATGTGGATAGGGCAATCAGGTTGCCTTTGGCCATTATTACGCTTAGATTGAAAATTATACGACTGCACAATGGAATAAAAACCGAAGTTCTGATAAAATAGGAAATACCGATAAATATTAGTTTGAAACGTGTTCATTTAGCGTGAATGCCAAATGCCGGATGTAAACATTCTTTACTTTAGACTCAATTATCACGTGTTTGTTACTGGTGTTCGTAGGAAAACCAGTCATGATGTTCAGGTCTAAAGTGTATTTTTAGTAACACAAGTTGCGAGTAACTTTATTAGCCAATCAAATTTCAGGAGGAAATGCCGCGTGCAGCTGGGTGAATCTCAGTTTGACAGACGAATTTATGACGTTATTGACATTGTTGGGTTAGTTTCGGCAATAAACTTGTCAATATTTTGATTATTTTTACAGGGTTTTCTTAAAATTTTGCGCGAGCAATGAACCGCTCGCGTAAATGTAGATTTACGCGAGCGCGAGCAATTGCTCGCGTCTCGTGGCAAGCCCTGAGTCAAGCTACATGTATAGAACTTATAGCACAGTCTTTAAAGTACCAATATCCCAGCTCGTAGCAAATATACATTCCACAAATCACACACTTTTTATCATTAATTACCTGTTATTATTGCTATTATTTTGCTTATACTGTGAAGTGACTGTCAAATGAGTTTACAAAATACCAGTTTGATAGTATTTGATGTATTTTAGTTTTACATACACTATATTGTTCTAACATTTGGGCATCCATGTGGTAATTTTTGTATTGTTTTAGCCCCATTAATATTACAGTTATAATTTCTACATACCAGGTAGTTTATTATAATGAGACTGTGATCTAAATGCATACAATTCATTCATTGTACTTTTTATTTTGTAGGAAATTAGAATCTGATGTGAGTAGTAATAGAACTATAACTGATTATTTTCCTGTAAGAAGAAGTGGTAGAAAATGTCATTCGGAAATACAGGTAAACTATTATAATTAGGCCACGCAATAAAAATATCCTGGTTCTCAGGGCTGTATTTCTTTTTATTTTGTCAAAAATGTAGCTTGTTTTTCATTTTTTAAGAAACACACAAAATTATTATAAATTTAATATTAAAGTAGCTAAGTCTCTAACTCAATATAATCCAAAGTTTTCAACATTGAAAACACGAAACATTCAATTATCCATTGCCATTCATGATTGTCATTAGTCTCTCATGGTTACGTACTTGATAGCTGAGTCTTGTGTTTATTTCCCTTAATAATGAATGAGGAGAAATTATTGACTTTGTTTTTATTTTAGTCTCGGTCACCCAGAACCTCCTAGTTTTCAATGTATGGAGGGTCCGAGACCGTTGTCAATATTTGACGAAAAGTTCCATTGCCCATGCTTAACCATGAGTTTGGTTTTTTATGTGGTTGATTATCCAGTATCTTTGACCAAGTCAAGTAAGAGTTGCGCCACTACTTCCCGCAAATTCAATAAATCCCACAATTCTTGAATAACTATAAACAAACATGAATCGTGACGATGAATTAGGATTAATTTTTTTAAAAAAACATAGATATAGCCCATGAAGAGAGAAATTTTACAATAAAAAAGAATTAAGAGTGTTGGATATTGAACTGGCAATGCAATCAAGTGGATTTTCTGAAATGGCATACTAATAAATTAATTTCATGGGCGCAAACATCTTTTTTTAAGACTAGTTACCTCCCTTAGACTTTGTTTATGATAATGTAAAATCTAGCCAAATGTTGACAATGCATCTAGACTAATATTCGTTGAATATTTATCTGGATGATAGAGACTATTTTTCTTTGTATTTTTAAATAAAAACCTGTGACGCAGCCTGTTTTTGACACAGCGGTATCTGAGAACCAGAATTCTTTTTTTATTATTATTGTGTGGCCTTATATAAGTTATACAATGTTAGATTTATAGTCAAGACTGGATGTAAGGCACAAATTCAAACTTTGTCATACACACAATCCTTCTGGCACCTGTCAATTTGGCCGGCACAAATTTGTCTTTTTTCTGAATTTTTACTGATATTATTAATATATCCGGCACATTTTCATTAGTGACTGACATTTTTGTCAGGTACAACTAAAACCGTTATATCCAGGCCTGTTTATAGCAGATTTTAACTACTCTTAGACTAGGCCCCTCATTGCAAACTCGCCTAATCAGTGATGGTATTTAACTCTGGCTATAAATATTGTCAAACTTTTGTTGAAAAGATTGTTTCAAAATTTGTAATTCAGGCTTTGATTGACTGACTTTTAACTTTCTCTGAAAATTGTGTGTTAAATTTTAATTGACTCACCATATTAATTCATATCTTTTGGTTGAGTAAAATTTTACCAATGGTCATTCTCAATGGTCATAATCTGTTTATTTAATTTTCCAGAAAATGCGAATGATAGAATATGAAGTAAAAGTATTGTCTCAATGTGAAGATGGGTTAGAAGTAAGCTTACAGTCTTTGCTATTTTTAGATGTCCACCTTGAAATGTGTTCATACATAGCCATCTAAAAATAAATTTTAGATGCCCTAACTCATCCGACTAATTCAGTGTTTAGTTTGATGAGAACATGAACATGATTTTCAATGCTTTCTGATAACATGAACAGCTAAAGTTTTCATCTGAAGCCCCAGTCTGTATTTACAATTTCTTCCGAAAGGTTATCCCATTGATGCTAGTTTAACAATAATAAATGACTCAAATAATTATAGTTATTTCGTATAACTTATCAGCAGCTTTCTATTTATTTGATTGTACCAGTACATGACATGGAGTAGGTTACCTATGAGTTTTCTCAAAGTTTTTTGAGTTTACTCTAACTATATTGATGTTATATCCAAATTCACCTTATTAAGTCAACATTAACCACTTTTATCTCATCTAGGTAGTAGATTTAAATGGGAAAGGAAGAGGTGTTATAGCTACTAAAGCTTTTAAAAAAGGAGATTTTATAGTAGAATATGCTGGAGATCTCATTAATTTAGCTGAATCGAAAGATAGAGAAGAATTTTATGGTATGAGTACTCAATATGGTTGTTACATGTATTATTTCACCATCAAGGATAAACGATACTGGTAAGTTTTGAAGACTTCAGGGCCAATATTAACCCCCTTTCCCCACTGCAAGTTTAATATAAAATTTCCATATTTCCAAATAATGCATTTCTTGGTAACTAGATTGTATTATTAAAAGACTCACCTGTCACTGAATGAGACCAAAACCTTTAGTTTAGTTAGACTGGGAAAGACAATAATAGTTCATCTTTCTGTAGAAGACCTGTAATCATTTCAGTTAGATGTTTAATTTATAACATTCTAAATGAATGTGACCTTTATATCTTGTTTTAGAACATGATTGGAGAATAACTATCTATATTTACCTGCAAAAAGTTATAACAAGCAGGTAGATCTTCAAATTCTTATATTTCTGATCTCTTGAGCTCGCTACAAAATGGTGACAACAGTAATCCATATGGCACTGTTGATTGTCAAGTGATTGGTGAGGCTTCAATTCATTGTGTGTAAAATTGAAAAAAGTTTCTTTACATGGACATAGGTAATTCATAGCTAACGATTATCTTTTTCACAGACCATATACATATTTATATAGAGAACATATTATAATTAATCATTATAATATTATGTTCTCTCTCTATATATATATATGGTGTGTGAAAAACATTTACGATATCAATTATCACTCATACGATTTGCTTTAACATACTAATGACCAGTATTTATATTACGATTTAAAATTTGTATTTTATTATTTATTTCAGTATTGACGCAACGGCTGAAAGTGGTAAATTAGGACGACTATTGAACCACAGTAGACATGGGAATTGTTGTACCAAGTTAATAGAGATCAAGAACTCCCCATTTCTAATCTTGATTGCTAGTCGTGACATTGTGAAAGGGGAGGAACTATTGTATGATTATGGTGATCGAAGTAAAGAATCTTTAGCAGCCCATCCATGGTTAAAGTCTTAATTGGATCTAGAAATCTTCAGTAATGCCTCACATAAAATGCCAGTGATGATGATCTAACATTTTTATTAGTAAAATTTTACTTATCAAAACCAAGCTATATGTTGTAATGAAATTTTAAGTAACCATAATTATTATTATTATTATGGTTAGCCCATGCATGTTGTATCTTAAGATCCGTCATTGAGTCAACTGGCGTGGTTTCGATTCCCCGGATGTACGTGACAAGGAGTAGGGTCGCCTGTCCAACCTCGTGGGTTTTCTCCCGGTCTTCCGATTTCCTCAGACTGCTAATCTAAAGACTCCTCGCGCAAGCGAATTATTGAAATAAAATTGAACCATGTGTTCGTCCTGAAATGACCTAGTTTGTGTCGAGTGGACGTTAAACCCCATTTCTCCCTCTCTCTACCATATTCTAGTCTTGTCAAGTTTCTTTTCTGCTGACCAAGAAGGTTGTAGTGCATAATAATTGATAATTCTTTGAATTGCCTCTCTTGGGCCTTGTTTCAACTTTGTGTCATCACATTCAAATTAAGACATTTTATATCCGAAGTTATAAATGACATAAATGTAAATGTTTTCTTTAACTTACCATTGTGTATTGGAGTAGGAACTTGACAAGGCTGACGTTTAAAATTTTTGGAGCAATTCTTATATTTGTCATTACCAGACGATATTTGTATTTAAATTGTGTATAAATACTCTAAACTTATTACCAAATATTGTATTAAACCAGTCAATATCAGTGTTTATGAAATAATATTTTGTAACAGGTTGACATAGTTATTGCTTGATATTTTTAAAAAGCTTGGTTTACACAGGCATTGCTTATTCAACGATGCTGTATATTGATGAGTATTATTAAAAATTGGCATTGAATAGATAGAAAATATTTTTTATTATAACATCATAGGTTGTCTCAAGTCATTCTACTTTAATTATTTTCATTTTTAAATTGTATATTATATGATATTCTAAGTATATAGTTTCATTGTAAAGGTAGCTATTTAGATAATAATGTTGGAGTGCAGCATATTGTTGCAGACAATTGACACTCTACACCATGACTGGATAATTCCACTGTGGTCTAGCACATCTTTTCGTGAAAAATTTGGTTGTGAGTCTGACAATGCACCAAGTAAAGTGTTGCCAAGGGCCCTGTTGCACAAAGTGCATAGAAGATACGTGAAAATATAGTAAAATGTTCAAGTTAAATGTGTGTAAGATATTTGTTTTGTGCCCCAGGATCCTGACATTAATCTTGTTTAATGAATATTCATAAATAATCTTACAGCTTTTGTTAAATTCACATAAAATGTAATGAGCAATTCTGCAGTCATATTTTCTATAAAAGGACTGTAAGCCTATATACTCCATATTGCAGTATTGTATAAATGTTTCAATTGAATATGTTACCGGTATGAAATTGTTGTTTTAATAATATAAAATTATGCATTCCCATTTGAAACAGTGACATCACATTTTCATCTGTCAGTGTCCATACATTTGTGTCTTCAAGTTCTGATATACCTCAGTAGTAAAGCAGACATGTTTTCTATGTTAATATGCAACTGTTCTGATTTATTTATAAAAATGTTTATCTTCATAAAATAATATTGTATTTCATGTGTTATTATTTATAATGAAAATCATTTTGTGTAGTAGTAGAGAGGCTTTATGTGTATCACTTTATAAGTACATGTATTATACTTTGCTGACAACTAGATGGCATGAATTAGTATAGTCTAATTGACTGCAACATGAACCATTTGGTAGATAATCTCATCTGTACTGCCACTTAGAACTATAAAATGTGTTAATGAATTTAATATTCAGTAAGATTTAACATTTGATAATTATTACACTAAAGTCTTCAGGCTTTATTTATAATTAATTATTGGTAAAAGTCCTATAATTAGTCAATCTTTGATGTTTGCAAGCTAAAGGGAGATTTTTAAAAGGAGTAGGTAAATGAAGATTGAATCAGGGTGAAACAGTAGCCACAGTAACCCATGAGTGCTTTGATTGGTTCCATATGTGACCTTTGGGTTATAGTTCAAGACATATATATTGTAAAGCAATGGCATTGTGAAGATGAACAATTCCAAAGTTTTTTCTGTAACAACTGTAAACTGTGATTGATCTGTTTCTATGGCAATTTATCATGTTTAAAATGAATTTATTGTGTTTAATATTGTAAAAGCTATTTCTTGTAGTTTCATTGAATCATTGTAAATATTTTACTTCCATTTTATCAACCTGTAATCATTAAAATTCATCTTCCATTGAAATTGTCTTGATATTTTATTTACTGTTCATTAAAACAGGGTTTGAGTTGATCACATTTGAGGAGGGTGTATAGTTACTGTCATTCTTCGGTCTACAATTTTTCTAAACACTCTACAGCCTACAGGCCCAATTATTTTAGATTAAATTTTCAAACTTGCTTTTTTGTTAGGCTAGTCATACATAGACACCCTATTGAAATTTACTGATGTGGGTTGGGTTGGAGACTGGAGTGCACTTGCTGGGTTGTTCAGCATGTCATAAAGAGGAAACCCGTGGAAATTCAATGGCTATATTAATTTAGATACCATATGTATGGTTAGTGATAAGGATAAAGCCTATGGAGTTAAACATCTATTTTTCAGCCCTTTGAAATAATTTGTATTGTGCATAGAGTTGAGGGAGCCACAAAGTTGGCTTGCTAACCTAGAGGTCCCATGTTCGATCCCTGCATTGGCCGAGAAAGTTTGTCAGGATTTTCCGGTTTGGTTCCTCCTTCTCAGTGGTGCAGGACGGAGGGCCTGGCAAGGGACAATGTATAGTCGTTCGGATGGTTAAAAAAAAAAGACGAGGTCCTGTGTACACATTGGCATGCATGTAAAAGATCCCTCGACAGTTGGAATTTGATATAAGAGTAGGCCATAGCGCCATTGTCTGGGCACAATATCCTTCATAGAACACTGTATGGCATATGCCCATCTTCATTAGTCCAGTGTGAGCAGAACAGTAGGGCGTTAAACTAGGGATGTGACAATAACAACATATTTCCTTGAATTCAAATATATTTATACTAATTTGGTGAATTTTCCTCCATTTTGTGAAACAAAACGGCCGCCTTATTGGATCAGTGAAATCGAAATATTATAATTAATTCATGTTTGTTGACTCAAAAACATACAAAGGATATATTAGAAGGAATATCCAATATTCATTTGGTATGGGGGGGGGGGGGGATAGCCGAATGGTTAGCATGTGTGCGCTGTATCATAAAGCCTGTCATTGAGTCAACTGGCGTGGTTTCGAATCCCCGTTTGTACGTGACAAGGAGTAGGATCGCCTGTCCAACCTCGTGGGTTTTTTTCCGGGTCCTCCCACTGCTAAAAGCCCCTACGCGCAAGCAAATTATTGAAAAAAATGACCATATGTTAGTCCCGAAATGACCTAGTTTGTGTCGAGTGGATGTTAAACCCCATTTCTCTGTCTCTCTCTATATGGCCGCCATATTGGATCACTGAAATTGGTAAAATATATTGTATCCGCAGTGTCAAACCCTATAAATAAATATTACACAGTATACATGTAAATGAAATCTAATTTTTTTATATTCATTTGATGACAAAATGACGTTTTCCGTCAGTTTGTGACGGAAAATGGCCGCCATACTGGATTTCAGCCATATTGGATTTTCGAAAATGAAAAATTATATTGCATTCTAGTTTGTTGACCGAAAACCCTATAAAGGACACCCAAGCGAAGATCGAAGGTCTATTCGAAGTGTTTATAATACAATATCCTGAAAAAAAATTGAAATTGATTTGAAAATGGCCGATCACATTCATTTCGATATATTTTATCCCATTCCCAGTTAAACCCCATTTCATTTTCATTTCGCATATAGTTGATCACGTAGATGGAATAAACAAAACTGAAGAGTGTGACTGTGAATAGCCTCTTCATCCTAGTTTCTCGATTTCATTTATTAAAACACAATTCCTGGAATGACAATACAGGGGAAGTAATTTAGCAATTTGATTTATTTCCCTTCTGTCAAACTCTTCAGGAACTTGTTTGTGAGATTAAATTAGTCTTGTCTAGAAATTTCGGAAAATGTATTATTAATATTATTATACGTTTTACTTCTTATAAAATCTAAACTATTTCTTGTATCAACAATAACTGGCAGTACCAAAGTGTTTTGTGTTTACTAGCTAGTGCAAGAGAAATAGTTCAAGACTGAATTTATCAGGATAAAATCAAATGATGGCTGATGTGCGCCAAGAACCCACCGTCGGTGGCGGCAGAATCAAAGGACTAACGATAGTAAAACCCATTATTTATGGTAATCTGGCAAGATATTTTGGTAAAAAGAGAGAAGAAGATGGCCATACACATCAGTGGACAGTTTATGTCAAGCCATACAAGAATGAAGACCTGTCAATTTATGTGAAAAAAGTCCATTTCAAACTCCATGAAAGTTATCCAAATCCAAATCGTGTTGTGACGAAACCACCCTACGAAGTTACAGAAACTGGTTGGGGAGAATTTGAAGTCATTATAAAAATATATTTTAATGATCCAAATGGAAATGAAAAACCAGTGACATTTTATCATTTGTTAAAACTATTCCAAAGTGAAACTGACATTATGTTGGGCAAGAAGTCGTTAGTTGCTGAACTATATGATGAGTTGGTTTTTCAAGATCCAACTCCTGCCATGCAACAATTGTTAACAAGTGTTCGACCCATTTCACTTGGTGCTTATAAGCATGAAACAGACTTTGAGGAGAAAAGAGAAAAAACTAATAATAATCTTATTGCTGCCAAGAATAAAATAAGATATGAAATTTCAGAGTTAAATGAACGATTAAAGTTTGCTAAACAGAACATTTCTAAGTTGAAGAAAGACATTGCTCAAATTGAGAAAGTTGATGATAAATCAATTATATCATTGATACCCCAGTGATTCTTTTGTGGATTTAAGCCAAAGCGGACATGTATATATGCCAGTATCAGAAAACATTATGTTCATGTTTGACCACTATATGCATATCTGTCATACATGTATATATCAGTTATATTAAAGCGAGAATTTCATATTTTTAAAATGTATTAAAATAAAGCCTTAAAGTTACAATTTCATATTTTTAAGTTATATATTTAAAATGTATTAAAATAAAGCCCTAAAATAGATGGTATCCATAAACAGTCCTACCTTGTTAAAGAATAATCCTATTAATCCTATAATTCACTATTGCCAGTTGAGAAATTGGCAAAAATGTCATTTTCAACTTCAAATTCAAATGTTTGAAGATAGCTAGGCCTATTCCATGGTGGGCAATAGGAAAACAAGGGAGGTAATTGTGTTATTAATTCCGGTGCTAAGATTTTTAAGTGTGAGACAGATAACCTATGATCGTATAATAGTGAGTTGACAACCTATTGAGCAAAAGACAGAAATAATTATGTTTTGACTTTCTTAGAAAATATGAAATTGTAACTTTGAAATAGATGGTTTCTATAAATAGTCCTACCTTGTTAAAGAATAATCCTATTAATCCTATAATTCACTATTGCCAGTTGAGGAATTGGCAAAAATATCATTTTCAACTTCAAATTCAAACGTTAGAAGATAGCTATTCCATGGGGGGAATAGAAAAACAAGGGAGGTAATTGTGTTATTATTTCCTGTGTGAATGATTTTATAAGTGTGATAATGATACCTATGATCGTATAATAGTGAGTTGACAACCTATTGAGCAAAAAACATAGAAATAATTATGTTTTGACTTTCTTAGAAAATATGAAATTCTCGCTTTAAGCTACATATCTATGCAATGAAATGTTATGAAAACTTTTTGAAATGTCACACTATTTTGCTAGTGATTATTATCCATAAAGTTGCGTTTTGTATGGTACATTCTTTCCAGTGTATGCATAGCTGCTAATCAACATGCAATTTGTTCTCTAAAGTGTCATTTGTATTTTAAGATGATATATTCTTTATTATTGAGTGATGCTTAAGTGTAATAGTGTACTGTACTGATACTGTTTTCATATATTGAAATGATGAAGATACATGATACCGATACATTAAATAAATCAAATATACACATACCTTGTATACCTTTAGTTCTGTTCATTTCTATTTAAAGATGGGTTTCTAGACAAGTATTTATCAGATGGTTATTTCCAATAAAAGTATGGCAATTTTGGTATACATGTATATAGAAAGTAGAGATTTCTAATCTTACTAGAAAAATACTGGATTCCCCGAAAAACACTCATGGAGCGTATACAGGACAAAAATGTAAGGGTTCCCCTAATCGACAGCCCGACGATTAGGAATTTCTGCACGCGTGATGTCAAAGGTCACACACGAACATTGAGCGCTTGATGTACAAGTTGATAAACTTTATGAAGAGTTAGACCTACAACACTTTCTGAGATAAAAATGACGGAAAAAGACGCGAGTAGTGGATAATCTGAGAGTTTAATTAGGATTCGATATTTGTAATAAATAGTTATGCAATGAATTCTCCTCTGACTTCCAAGAGAGGTAAGTCACGTGACATAAACATGACCTGGTTTGATCGAATGCATTCCTTCGGAATTACAATGTTTGAGAAGGATTTGAAGCAAAATTATGACAAATTAATTAGTTTGAATATGTTTTTAGTCCATATATACCATTAAATCACCCAGTTTGTACGTGGAAATGTATCTTTAAACAACGGATCTAATAATTACCATGCTTCTCTTTTTTTCAGATATTTACTGGTCACATAAAATAGATCTGACTGACTGATCATGCCAGTATTAAACTTCCACGGATACAGTCACATTGATTGAATATATAATGTTAATCGAAGTTAGTTAAAACATTTTTCACATTCTAGCATACTTTACTTAATACCTACAGTGTCATGTTCATCGATAAATAGTGGATTTTAATGCGCCAATTCATTGTTCATATTTAAAGGCAAACAAATATAGTTTTAAAGGACAAATTTTGGACCTCACTAAATTTGACCAAATAATTATGAAAGTGCGCAATTATTATGGATGAAAACAGACATGCTGGCGGGTCATGAGAAACAAACAATTAATTAACCGCGGCCTTATATAATATAAATATGAATTATAAGAGCAAAGATATCTATATTGCCCATTCTATTTTTCTTGTCTATAGGATTTGTCACCCCTGCCATAAAATATAATCTTATTCAATCTTTCATTACCTCTTTATTCATGGCTGCATGTACTAAAAAATTCTGTCCTTGAGTAATGCTGCAATAATCGAACCCTTTAACCTACTGATATTAAAGTGGGATATCCTTAAATTGATTCAGGCTGATTGATCTCCAGATGGATGAATGTAGTGTGTCTATTACATGTATAGCAATTCTCTCTTTTGCCTATTTGCCCTCGTTTGCAATTTTTGTTGACTTTTTGGTCTAGAATCGAAGATGAATGTTTGAATTTAATATTTTCTGCCAGGTTTTTGTGAATAGTCTTGATTTTGATGTTAATGATCAGGAAATATTAAGTCAAAGCAAAGAGATTTTATTCACCAGGCTAGCAAAAAATCGAGATGATTGTGACACAGGGTATTTGTGGATATAAAAATTAAGATCATGAGAATGTGCAAAAAAATATTGTAGGCCAAGAAATGACATAAGTTTAATATTGAAGTCAATGTAGAGTGAGCGTATTACCAGTATCAACCCAGCTTGAATAAGTCTGGTTGTCTCCCTTAGATATTATACCTATCTCATACGTGTGTTGCCCTGACTATTTTATTAGTTGAAAATATATTTAGGTTTTTCTCACAGACAGGGTTCGGTTATGTTTTGCTTGTTGTGTACACCATTCAAAACGGTGGATGTATGCACAATAATTACACCATCAATTCTTGGACACTGAGATAGTTTTGGATGGCTACAGACCGACCGTGATACAGGTCAATGATATAGAGTTGTATGTGCCACTGTAACATGATGTAAGTATTCCCACTTACACTTCAAGAGAGAAATGGGGTTTAACATCCATTCAACACATAATCAGTTTGGGACTAACGCATGATACATGCGTGTAGGGGTCTATCAGTGGAAATGAAATGAAATGAGGTTGAACGTCCTACTCCGACCTGGGCTAATGAAGATGGGCATACGCCATACAGTGTGACTTATATCGAATTCCAACTGTCAAGGGATATTTTAAGTGCACGCCATGTGTACACAGGATCTTGCCAGGCCCTCCGTCTTGCATCACTGACAAGGGGCAACCACCCCGGAAAATCTTTATGAACTTTCTCGGCCAATGGAGGGATCGAACACCCGACCTCAAGGCTAGCGAGCCAGCGTCTTACCCGCTTAGCCACCGTGACCCCGCTCCCCCTCCTTTAGCAATGGAAGCAAATAGTACTAGGTAGACAGATAGAGGTGATAACGTTATACGACTAGAATTAAATATGGATTATAAAATGACTTAATACCAACATATATTTGGCATGTAATAATTTATTCAATAATAAATTTTTATATGCGTAAAATTATTTTACAAGAAACATATTCAGAACATATGTTGCGCATTGAAATACTGAAGGCCTCTTCATGCAAATAAAATAAAAGGAACAATTATTTCCATTAAAATCCACAAATCAATATATAAAGATAAAAACGCGTAGAATAGTTGATAAACTTCAGTCTGTTAAATTCACATCTTCTTGGATCTACATCTTCAGTTAGCTATAGTTTTCTATTTACAAATTAAGCTTTAGTGAAGTATATTTTCGCTGTCACATCCCCAGTTGTAAATGTCTGTTAGTACAATAAATAGAAAAACAGCATAGAATAAGACAAAGTATTATTACATAACAATATACTGTCAGCCATATTATACAAATACTAAGCTACCATTTCACACATGCAGCATGTCATATTTTGGAGTTCTATGAGAAAAAAAAAATCGAATCAGCATCACGTATTAGCTTAGATTATATAAACCGGTAGAGTATTCCAAAATCCCAGAAAAAAAATTCTAAAGTTTGAAATTAAAAGTTATTAAAATGCCGATCAGCTGCTAGGACGTCTGTGCTAGCGTTCAAAATCATTCTCAACAAATCCGACAATGTCAGTTATAAGAAGAATCAATTGTGAAGGTAAACATAACTCCGCAAAACGTGTTCAGTATTTACGATCCGAAAATTTTGAAAATAGATCGAGTTCTCTCTTAATAATCCCATTGAACAATGCTAACTAAAGTTCTTCCTTCCGTCGTCACAAGAATTATGGACAGAAAACCGGACGATTTTGACGACACTAAGCTACGTCCATATTCAATTTTCATTTTTCGGGAATTTGTGAAATATACGACTGGATATGAAAGCGGGGGTGATCATTTTCTCATACATTTCCAGGAATGAACATTTATTGCCCATTGTTTTGTCAGCATTTGGTAATAAACCCCCCAAATTTCACATTGTGTGTATCATATCCCAATTAAATAGATATATACGTGCATTAGAATAGCTGCATGCAATAAGGAATCTATAATATTATTATATCGGCCAATTTCATGATTGTATAACATACTTTAAAAATAAAACATTCTTTGGATAAGCTACAAGACTAACAAAAGCCGACAGCACAGACAATACCTACAACAGAAATGACTAGATTAATTTGGCAGGGGTTATTATATAAGGACGAAGTTATTAGAAATAATATTAGGAGATTCGCGTTAAAGTAAATGTAACTGTTTCACCGGCACCCGTCATTTTCTGTAATAAAATATAAAGACAGTATTAAGTTTATTATTTGCCGATAAACAGAAGCAATCATATTTCCGAATATTGTTTTTCTAAGAACAATTAACAATGGTATCTTAAGTTTAACGTCCACTCAACACAAATTAGGTCATGTCGGGACTACCGTGCAAAATCTCTAATCAATTATTCGCTTACGCCCAGTGAGAGAAAACGGCGAAACCCCCAGACAACTCACGAGATAAGGCATCGACCCTACCCGTCACGTACAAGCATGGGATCGAAACCACAACACTTGTTTCAGTGACTCTAGAGAGTGGACGAACAGTCAATATTGGTGTCTAAAACGACCCCAATGTATTCAAAAGGCAATTATGAAATATAATTGAGTTCACGTACTGAAACTAATTTTCCACCAATAACCTGACGTTCTATTTGAATATCAAAACCTTTCCAGTTATATTTCTCTACCATGGCGTCCCCATTTAAAGTAATCATAGACTGAAAAATATAAACAAATTAAACGCATTAATTATTATTATTATTCATTATAACCGTCAAATAGTTAGTCATTTTAAAACAACAATATATTGAAATCCAAATACTTTTATAATTCTGTTTGTGTAACATAACTCTTAGTATAACGGCAATGATATTACATCAGAAAATCGAAACTTTTTCAAGTTAAATAAAATGTGACGGGGGTTTCTGCGCCAGCCGGGCTAAGACTGGCATACGCCATGCAGTGTGCTACAAGGGAGATTATGCCCTGACAGCGGCAAAAGGAATAGGGATAGCAATAGGAAACTAAACGGTCGAACTTACTTATTAAAAAAAAACCTTTATAATAATCAGTATTTACTATAATGATGCTTTATTTACTTCGTATTTGGTGCAGTATACTTTTATTGATGTAATTGACAGTTAATGATTGTTGCGTTATTATGGATGGATAAGCTCTATATACTTTTCACTCGTCCTATTCTATAACAGTCGATAATTGATTCACTAAGTTTCTTCGTTTTTTTTTTCTTTGCCTCGGGTGATACCCTATACTCATTTATTAGGTTACTCCTGCACATATAACCTATTTTATAACAATCGATAACTGATATTCCGTTTCTTCTTCTCCAGTGATACCTCATCGGTCACGTACCTATTTGGTTCCCCCCACATAATCGATTTATTCGATTTCTTCTTTTCTCGTTGTCTTTGAGTAATATTGATCTAGTGGTCTGTATTTTTATTGTATATAGGAGCCGCGGTGGCTCAGCTCTTAAGGCGCTGGCTCACTAAAAGTTACGGGGTTCGATCATGATGTTTACCGGTATAAAGTTCCTCGGGATTTTCCAGCATGGTATTTTCTTGTCAGTAGTGCAACACGGAGCACATGTCGTGTCTAGTCGTTCGGATAGGACATAAGTCCGTGCACGTAAAATAACCCTTGACAGTATGACCTAATAACGTGTTCGTTTTATAACTTACCTTTACCATATCACCAGTTAATGTTGTATTATCAAATTCTACACCCAGTTTAAATTTAACGTCTTTTACTTTATCACCAATACATGTTTTAATTGACCACTGATCGCCATCTTGACCGAGTTCAACTTCTGGTTTACCAGATTTAGCCATTTCTCTCATATTTTCTGGGATTCCTATAAATATGTAAGAATAAAATTGTTTTGTTGTTGGGTTTTTTTTTTTTAGTTTTTTTTTTCATTTTGACAAAATATGATTTTCGACCCCAGTGCTAGAGGAGAAAGTACATACTCCTACCTGTGATGTAGAACTAAGGTATTGGCAAGGAACAGTTTCAAGTCCTTCGGAAGTCATGAAAAACCGAGGTACCGTTCACACGTTGGCGAGCACGCAAAACGAACAAATGACAGAATTCGAATTATGGGTATTCCCGCCCCCGCCCCCCCCCCCCCACCCCAGCATATTTGCTCAGTTGGTGGAGAAAATGTAGGACGTTATACCATATTTCATTTGCAAAATCTACTATTCTAATGGCATCTGCTACGTGCCTACATTTTGCCAGGGCAAAGACATAGTCGCAGGAACTGGTGTCGAATACCATATCCTGATCATCTATGAATGCAGAATGTATACAGTGACGTATACATACCAAAATGTGAAACAAGTTTGGGGAATTTTTAAGGGTACAACCATATTCACAAGACATGGGTTTAACGACATCTTTTGTGCTCTGATAAAGACGTGATTATGCCATGCATGCGTCCGTCTCTTGTCAATGCTGCACATGGTGTCGACAGTTGTTTTTTGTTTTTTTTAGGAACTTTCTCGGGACCACAAGCCTAGCTAGAGCCAGAGCTTTACTCGATGAACCACCGAGGCTCACCGATTAAGGTGTCAGTTATATTATACCAATTAATCACATTAGAGATTGTACATGTCAAAACTAATAATAAGCTTATAAAACATGGTTCAAATTGATTTTCTATATGCTACAACAGTATTATGTACTTATTCAAATTTATCCTAAAGAAATGTTCAGGTGTAATATGTAGGACTGTTATTTCAATGAGAAACCATGGCTGAGCTCAGCTCAATAGACATTATTGACTTTTAGGAAATATAATATTTACTTTAGTTTACATGACAGACCCTAATGGATTGAACAAAAATTATATTTGAATAAATATTTCCTAAGGTATAGCACATTATTGAAAGTATATAATCGCTTTCAGGTCTCTTTGTCTGTTGCTTTTGGTATCAATTATAGTGCGGTCCTCCTGTACTTATTATTATAGACACCGTTGGACATAGTCTGCAGTTTAATTGCCCCTAAGCACCGATAAGGAATCATAAATCGTTTTGCATTTTCCTGTGTTTTGACGACAGCCTAAGCTACATTATTTACATAACAGATCTTGCCCTCAGATAATACACCAAGAGATATGTTTTTTTTTAAACTTTTCATTCTTCTTATTTAAATATTTGCAAAACCTTCAATATGTCACTATTCTCATACATTAGTTAACTCTACGGCATAAAGTAGGGTATACTTATTTAGAGGGTTCAAACAGCAAACAAGCTTAACAGAACTTTTGTAATTAATAATACATTACGCAAGAGCTAAATCTACCTATTGCATTTCTTTTTTCTGTTATATACATTATTATTGAGACATTTATTCACATAATCAACTTTACACCCTCGGGTGACCGAGATATTGAATGGATAAGAAATTTTGCGCCATTTAGTAATTTAAGGCTTCATTTATTATCGTAGCAATGGTACTTGACAATGGATACTATATACACTACATATTGGTTGCCAGGCAACGAAACATACGCCCACAGCAGCTAAATCGTCCTGGCAGTCGCTAATAAAACATTTATAATACAGAAAATCATTAGAATTTGCTTGGCCCATGCTAACGTTTAGTATACAAAGCAATTAATATCATGAATTTAGCCGTTGAAGTTATTAAAAATCATTGAAAATGAATAAACTTGTTCGTCTTAAGACCTTAAACTCTGTGTATTAATCAAAAGTCAATCAAAACGATTATATCAAGGGCCATAACTCTGGCAGTAATTATCGGAAATCGGTGAACACCAATATATTTCTTCGTCTCATGGCCTTAAATACTGTGTATAAATCTAAAGTCAATCGGCTATTAACTTTAGTCTCTAGAGCGTCCGCAACATTTTTCAAAGCGATCAAGGGCCATAACTCTGGCAGTCATTATCGGAATCGGTGAAAATCAATAGGCTTCTTCGTCTCATAACCTTAAACACTGTGTATTAATTTAAAGTCACTCGGATATCAACTTTTGCGAACGGAGGGACGTGGGCGACGACAATATACGACCACATTTCAATGTGGGCGTATAAAAACGACAAACACTCATAACTTGGCTCAGAAAAAGTAATTTGACTGACATTTTCAATTTATTCCTTTTGCATTACCTTTTTCTGAACTATTATAACACGAAAGGTCAGATCTTTATCTAAATCTTACATAATTCCTTTTTAAGGTTTGTTACTTGAATCTTTGGTTGCTCTAAACATAAGAGTCTAAAGGCTAACATATACTAACGATTATTTATCGTCAATTATGTCGATTTTTCCTCGCAGCATAAAGCACCCCTTTGCTGCTATAATTGTGTCTGATATCAAACATATTCAATAGCAGTAGACCTGTACTTACATTTTCATAAGTATAAGACACTTTTTATAAAAAAATAAATTGTTGCATTTTGTTTTTTAATTATAATTGAGATGAAATTTGACCAGTTTCCCAATAGTGTAAAAATAAAAGCTGATGATAAGATTATGTAATATAATTCAAACGTTACACGTTATACCATTACACAGGTATTTAAGGGATTGGTTCTGATACGAGGGAGGAAAACAGGGCAATACTGGAATCTGCACTGCATGCCAAAGACACCAAAGATAAACACCACATAATGCACAATTTGCCAACAATAAATCAAAATCAACCCAAAGCTTGTTTACCTACGCGAAGTTCCCGTGTCCAAAATTAATAAGGACAAAAGCCCACTTGTAGCAAATGGCATAGAAATGGGCCGAGTATTTAAATTTCATTTTAATTGTGACTTTGATAAGAGGGCAGTAAAATGTATCTATTGATGAATCAGACAGTAAAATGTATCAGTGGATTGATGCACTAAACAAAAATTTGTAAAGAAAAAAAAGAAAAAAAAAAGGAAGAATCACTTCTGCATGCGGCCCTGACAAAAATTAAAGTCTACTTGCTAAAGTAACTAGATAAAATACAACACTGTATAGTAAATCTCGAGTGAAAATATTTTTGCCCGCATCTCTATATTGTGTAGACTGTGTAAACCCCATTCGTTCTTGGAGTTTAAAGTAGCCAAGTCTCTAACTCAATATCATTCAAAACCTTCGAAGATGAAAACACGAATTATTTGTCAATTTATATCAACATTGGTGTTGTGATCTTACCGGGAAAAGATGGACTTCTGATATCCAATAATTAAGGCAAAATAAACATTTAACAATTGGTACACGAATCGTGTACCATAATGCGTTTCAGCGCAACGAGCGACTCGGAAGAACGAGGTTAGGCATATTCCAGAAGTCATGTCAAACGGTGGCCCCATAGACTTATCTGGAGAGCATGCGCAATAAATACTATTGGTGTAGACAGGAATAACCAGACGCTAGAGATTGCCATTCGATTGAGACTTCTGGCGTATTTCGCCGAACATAACGGCTTTGAAATTAGAGTAAAAAAGGAAACGATTGAATGTAAATCAGTTTATTTACATTCATATTACATTATTATATACGTTGCGACCCATTTGTGTCAATTTGTAGGTCCCAAATATTAGCGATTTAATTAGCTCCTTTAACATCCGCTTCCACCGAGGGTGATAATGCAGACAAACTACTAATTTTATAATCTGTGCAACATAGTTACGACCTTTACGCTGGAACCATTGCAAAGCACATCAGCTATACAAACTACCTATCGGCATAAATGTTTGGTATGTCTGTAGTGGTATTTCTAACAGGTCTTTCAGAGGTCAACCCAATTAATTTGTCATCATCAGTTAAACTGATAGAGATGTCTTTTGTCATTTTCACATCGTCAAGGCTAGCACTGGCGTGTTGTATATAGTCATGATTACATTAACATTGCTATTCGTGGAGCTGTTTTAATTCAAGCGCATCTATATAGACATTTTAGAATAATATGTATTTTGTTTTAGATTTACGAAACAAGCACAGCTGGAACATATAAAGTGCCAAAATGTTTAAGTTAACAATAATGAAATAAACATGTTTTGATGTTATACTGTAGAATTTGTTCAATTGGAGTAAGTTTTTCTAGGGCAGTGCGGTTCTATGGTTTTATAAAGGTGAAATCTACCATGACAGTGTGACTTTACTGATTAATACGAGTGAAATTGGCCAAAGCAGCATTGTTCGACGATTTAATACAATGTCATAAATTGTATTGACCTGCTCAATGTGTACCAGCGCGTACGTGACACAGGCTATCTATTACCTTAGCGAAATATCTGGAGATGCCATCGAAAGTCGTTCTATTGATGAGTACCGTGGTCAAATTTTGAAAAATGCCATATGTGACAGATCATCAAAAAGATATCAGTATCTGTCTCCTTAGTTTATCAAACTTTAACAGCCTGTCCTTGAATAGTTCACATTTACATTATCATTAATTTAAATTTATCAGTATGACTAATTTTGTCGAATTTATATCACGATAACCTACTGTACAAACCATACTGCACACAGAGAACTATCTACTTTGAGAATAGATCTTTGCACCTTTCTTACACACAGAGACTAATTAAACATTTTCAATTTCATTAGATTGAAGCAGAATAAATATTTCTTATAATTGTCGAATTTAACATGTAGTGTTTTCGACTAAACTCGATGTAGTAAATAAACTGTCGGTCAACCAGGGTTAGGTCTAAATATAAGGCCCCTGTTTACCTCTCGTGACCATGACGAAATCTGCAGGTGGCCTTGATATTTAGATCTGTACTTGGAGAAAGAATGTGTAACTTTCGTATGTGAACAAACTAGCCGCCACAATTAATCTACAGTTGTTGTTTTGTTTTTTTGGAGGGGGGGGGGGGTGAGAAAAAGACATAGCAAATAGTAAGCAGCAAATATATGTTGCATTAGCCTAACATGAAGTTTATCGCCCAATATTTATAATTCGCCAGGTACATCACATAAATTTTATTAACTTATCAACGCCATCTGTATACATATGTATAGACGTGCTTCAATTGTCAGCGATATAATCTGTATCGTAAGCATATCCTCTGAGAAGAAGGGTGATAAAATCTGACATCTACAACAAATATTTACATGAACATCGAAACGTATAATCACGAAGTTGACTGGTTTACCCATTAGCTTGAGATCTCGTTTAACATGCACCTTACATCTGCTTCATTATGTTTATGTCAAATATTCCCTACTTGAAACTGATCACAATCAGAAAGAAATGAAGTCCTGTACTTCATGCATGTCTTTAGATGCAAATAAGACAGTCGCTATTGTGGGAAACAGTAAGACCACCGCTTTAGGGATGTGTGAAAAACTGCCGGATGTTAAAACCAGACAGGCTTTTAAGCTTTAGTGGAATTGGGTCGTGACCTTGGTGCTGCCTTTCGAAGCAGATTGCATTTCATATTGACGTTCTCGTAGCAGTTATCCCATCCCAGTTGGTCAGAATTCCGGCCTATTTTGCTGAAGATCCCTGAATCGTATAACAATAAAGCAAAAGAAGAAAGAAAGGTATAAAATGAAATATATTTTATAATTGTGCCGAATTATTATAACAAGCACAATTTTAATGTTTTCACTGACATTCGAACAGAATTATAAATCTGAAATGTTTTGTAAAAAGAAATAATGGCTATGTGAACTCCTCCATTCAGACGTCTTTGAAAAAAGTAAGCACATTATCTACTTTCGTGATGTAACCATACATTTAGCAAAGCAAATCTTAACCTGCAGGAGCTAACTCTATTTAGACTACACCATTCAAACTAAAATAGGAAGCTATAAATACGAGGTAGAATCATTGTTTATAGACACTGTAATAAATTGTGTATCAGACAAGCCCAGACAGATAATACCAAATACATATACTTTCACTTTTAGCAAGAAAATAAACGTACCCGTAATTAATTATATAAAAACAATCAAAAACAGATCTACTTAGTATGTTGCACTAGAATTCGTTAAACTTTAAACTTCTAAAACATTGGTACGACCCCGCCGTCAGTTATCTCAGCTAGGGGCGTTGGGGGGGGGGGGGACCGGATGGTTAGCACATGCCCGCTGTATCCTGAGGTCTGTCACTGAGTCAACTGGCGTACTGGTTTCGATTTACCGGATGTACGTGACAAGGAGTGTGGTCGCCTGTCCAACCTCGTGGGTTTTCTCCGGGTCCCCCGGTTTCCCTCCACTGCTAAAGACCCCTACGCGCAAGCGAATTATTGAAATAAAATTTCGAACCATGTGTTAGTCCCAACATGACCTAGTTTGTGTCGAGTCAAATCGAGAATTTTTGCCAACCTGTGTCACAGTGAATAATTTAGACTAACTTGAAACTGATAGGATATGTACCTTTAACAGGGGCATTTTTTTTTTTATTAAAACTAGACACAGAATCTGTTTGGGTGTATTTGGGTGTTCCTCCTACTCCTTTTAATATGAATTATAACATTTTACTGATTTTGTGACCCCTATCGGGGTTAAAGTTTCCCCGATGAGAATCGGGATTTCGCTGATTATTTATAATCATAGGTGTCCGTTGGACTTTCAAAGGGTGAGGCCTTTTTTAAGACCATTATGCGCAAAAGTGGAAATATTGCAAAGCTTTGCGACTATGTAAGGTCAAAATACAAAAGTAACAACTTGAACTGGGAATGCAGGGCATATAGTAACATAATTTCACGTTTGTTTAATAAAAATATTATTTAGATATAGTTTATAGTTCTATTTGACATTAAACTAACTTACCCAATTTTTGCATAAATCCATCCAAATTATCGGCCGATTCAAACTTCCACTTTCCTACTAAGGCAGCCATTCTTACTCCTGGTTCTGTCAAAGAGTAAACAGAAAAGTAATTTATCGTCTGCGAATGCTTGCACGCTATCAACTGCAGAGTGGTAAGCGCGGTTGTTATATAGCTATTTATGTACATAATAATCACGTGGTGAACATGATAATGTATGTGTACATATAATGTATTAAGTTATGATCTATAGTAACACGTCTAATAATTGCCCCAGATTTGCTATTATATCATAGGAAAAGACCGCAAGACTGATGTGCAATTCCTTTCAATCACACGAACATCAATTGGCGTAAAGTCAAAAGTTTATTGAATTAAAAATAAAAATAAAAACCTGTCCAGAAAAAGAAAGAATGATTGTGGAATTATCTATGTAGATACATTTGTCGTAAACAATACTAATTAAGCTCAATCTTAGAATAGCACATCCTTACACTCTATAAGCTGCGTGTTTAAAAATCTGGGATGCACGGTTAATGAAATTTATTTAGATTCAGAAATGAAAATTGAATGAAATGGGGTTATAACGTTCTACTTTTCCGCACCAACCCCGATAATGAACACGAGCTTACGCCATACCGTGTGTTATGGCGAAATCTTTCCCAGGCAGCAACGTTTCCGCCCTTTACTTACTAATACCAAATGGAATTCAAATTGGACCCCCCCCCCTCCCCCAAACCCGCGAGTAGCTTTCTTAGGGGTTTGAACACAGGATCCAGTGCACCCACTCATTTTCGGTTTAAAAACCAAAAGAGTAATTATTTTTATAATTTCAAAAATTAATTAAAGGCTCAATACCACTCTTGTTGTAACTGAATAATATGTCCCAATCTTTATTCTGGTCAACAAATTGTACTATTTTACAATATTCCAATTAATTGATGATACAAATTTCATCTTAGCACACCTAATTTTAAAAATTGGAAAAATTCAACTAAATGATTTGAAAAGCCTAACGTAAAGCTTTTCAAATGTGACTTGGATTTAAAAATATTTTCGAACCCTCTGGACAAGTAAAATAGGATTTAATGGATAATAACACAACATGTAGGGTACTTAAACATCTAATACTTAGAATAAGGCTATTATTTATTTTCTGGAGCTGTCAAGCCAGCAAGATTGTTATTCTGCCTTTAACTAATAAATAGACATTTGAGACAAGGGCTGGATAAAGCATTAAGCAAAATAAGTATATGCTCAGGGCATTATGGGAAGGAGGTTCACCACAGAATTTCTGCTTTATTAGAACCCCATGACGAATTCAAAATATTTCATTTAAAAATTAAGAACTTTTAATTAGCTTTTCATTGTCTTTTTTTATTTTTTGGTTGTCTTTTCTTACTGTTACCCTCTTAATAAAACATCAGAAAATCTCTAACCACGTGGTTGACGGATTGTTTATGGTCACGTGGTTGACGGATTGTTTATGGTTTACTTTTGTTTACATTTTGAATTGAATATGGAAGCACCAAAATCTTCTAAGTGCAGGGCTGCTATAGGTTTTAATCCGGCCCTGGGTGAGACGATAATTAAAAACGTGCCATTGAACACCAATTCAGTTGCCATGCAAGTACCTGTTTATTGTATGATGCAAACATCTTATAAGCCCTTGTCTTGAAGTTGAAATCACAATACTTTAAAATGTCAACTGCTTGACAACGATTTGTTAAAACAGGTCTACATAAACATTTCACAATTTATTCAATCCAAGCAGCACCGGATGACTTTACGGTACAAAATAAAACGATTTATTACAAGCGTTAATTCTATTTGTTAGACTTATCGATGTAGTCAGGGTTAAATTCTATTTTTTAAATTTATCGATGTAGTCAGGGTTAATATCAATTGAAAATACTTTTCCTACGTTTCTTGTTTATTTGAACCAAACATGTGCAGATAGTTATATATATATAAGTAGACTTCCCAGAAGTCATTGTCCTTATTCTATAGATTAGTTCAAGAAATACGATGGCGTTTCGCTATTAATGTTCACTTTCATTCCGGATGCCGAAAAGTAATACAGATATCCGCTTAACCCCGATCGTTACGTTAAATAATGATCGAAAGAATTGGAGAAACGGACGAAACGGTACTTTTTTATATTCCAAGGCCTATACTTATTTTGCTATGGATTTCGTCATTACATCCGATTTTATTTCAAGCATACATGTATACAATTAATATTATCATCAGCCTAACGATTATTTGAAAATAATTGGAGTTGACATAAGTCAAATATATGTAGGGCGCCACACGCCCACAAATGATCTGGTATGTTGTAGGTGAAATAGATGTTATTATTTTTATAAACAGTTAAATCGAGTCCCCGAGTTATGAACAACTTTTAAATTGATGACTCAGATCTAGTAAAGGTGGCTCACAAAAAAGAATAAAATGCTGAATCCAAAGAAATATAAACTAATAGTACAAGCGCTAATGCCAAAATAATATGGCCACCAGTTATATTGCACTGAAATCTGTACGACTACGCCCTGAAAATGAGGTTCATAATATGGTCATCGGTTACTTGGCTGAAACTTAACAGAAACAAAGATCCATATTTGGAAAATATAATTTTCAAAAATCTAACCAAATGTTTGCCCCCCCCCCTCACCCCCAAGTCAGATCGCTCTAAAGCCTGCCCGGCCACGCCCTAAAAATTGGGCTAATAATATGGCCATCAGTTACATGGCTGAAACGTAACAGAAACAAAGATCTATACTATATTTTCAAAAGTTGGGGGGCTTTCCCCAAGCCAGATGGCCCTAAAGTATTTCCGACCACGCCCTAAAAATGGGGACTTTTGTTGGACACCAGATACATGACTGAGCAGCTTTTGACCTATGACGTCAGAAATTGATTAACCAATCAGAATTGATGTTTCTAGTGAATTACCCACAGTTCCGTGCACCACACGCCAAAAGCTTGCTGTGACAGATCGTTTCATTGCCTAAACCATCACATCATCCAGAACACGTCAATGATAAGAACTCTTCGAAATCCTAGTGTAGTAAAGTAAAACGAAATTTTGAACTATAATAAAACGAAATGAAATAGAATCTGTGTTTTAATCAGATTGAATCACAACAAGGCCATTTCGGAATATCTGTTGCTTTGGTACTGTCTGTAATGGTATTGCTGATGATGATTAGGTTCATAATTTTGGTTGTTGATGCTGCAATGCCCGTTTCTGACTTCTTCTTGCTGGTAACGACTGCTTCGATGGTTATTATGTTGACGATTCCTTACTTTTACATGTGGGTATAGCAATGGTTTACGTTGATTATTATGCCGATGCCATGTCTCGACTGCGTACGCTTATACGATGGTTTCAAGTGGTTATTCTGCTGATAATATGCTACTGATACATCTAGTCAGGGGCGCCGGAACCCGGGTATCAGGGTATACAAATGGTACCCTGCCCTTTTCTGTAGTATACATGTATACCCATGCCCTAATGATGAAAGTTTTCAACCTTTTTAGTAGTCTATTCGTTTGTGAATAATCAGGCTTTTGTGTCTTTCATTATCATGTATTTTAAAGGGTTTTATATTGGAATTTGGAATGTCGCTTTACTGTATTAATGTAATGTACCGGTTTGTTATAAATAAATACGCTCAAATAACTTACGTCGTTCGCATTTTGCATTTTTATTCTTTCTTTAGGTAGAGGGAGCATTTAATGCTTCTTCGTCTCATTGACACAAACAATGTATCCATGTGTCTAGTCAATCTGATGATAAATTTAGACTCAAGAGTGTACATGGGATTTTTTTTTAAGTGTTCAAATTCCATAACGTTAGTAAGTATCGGAAATTGTTGAAGAGCAATATGTCGTATAACGAACATAAACAGTCAGATGGTGATTGTGTCCTCTATAGCGCCCACAAGCATCTATGGGCGATATACGAACCGACGGGCGGACAGACAGACATTTTATACGACCAGATTATAAAACTAAAATTGTATGTAGTTGAAACTAGGTAAATGAAATTCAAGTAGGCCTACTTTTATACGACTGTTATATATTTTACTATAGACTTTATTTATCAGATAAATAGATATGAATGGTAAGAACAAAAAATCGTATAATTTCTTTCACTGGGTCGGCGTGAACCTCAGAAGTGCTATAAAGTTTAAGCTGTCTAGCCCGTTGTCTGTGTTTGTATATATAAATCAAAATATGTACTTTTCTTATCACATGGCTTTATAACAAAAAAATAATCATTGAAACTCTCGCATTAAAACAGCACTCGCCTGTTCTGGTAATTGGTCATTCCCGCCCTTTTCAACACATCCAAAGGCACCATTTAAATTCTTTTGGAAATATGGAATGAATATATTATGTTATTTGTATAATGTTTTCGTGCATCAGTCTTTCAAATTAATGCATTTTGAACAGAAACTGTAGCTACACGTAGTTTGAAAGGATGGGATAATTTTACACAAGCATTGAGTTTAAAAAAGGAACACATAGCGATAATAATAATAAAGCAATGTTTTAATATGACATGTACCTACATATAGTTTTTTTTACTGTAAAAGAATGTAATTGAATATATATTAATTAGTTTCTATAATTATCAGACAATTTGTATTTTTTGGTGTTAATAAATATTATCAGCATGGCGAGGTAGATGGAAACCATTAAACTAAATTGGGTAAATAAAGACAGCCATACGCCATGTCGTGTGCTATAAGAGTAATTTTTCACGGACAACGGCTCTACGACATACTTAGAATTCCAACGGTCAAGAGTTGTTTTACATGCACATCAAGGTATACATGGGGCGTCGGGTTTTCTTCCGACCGAACAACTAATCCATTTACTTTGGGAATACAGGAATTCCAAATAAATAATGAAAATACTGCATTAGTAACATAAAAATATGGCATCATTAGTAAACACACGTCATTATAATGACTGTAGTAGTAATAACTTACTACAAAAGATTTTAACAGATAATTGTACCTTAGGCCCTGTATCCATAGGCTGTTCCCTTGTATTCCCTTGTGACCTTGTGACG